TTACTTCAATATTAAGCTTCTTTCGCCTTGCTAAGGCGCAGGGATACAACTATTTGAACTCTCCGGAACGCGTGAGGTATCACGCCTCCAATGAAGGCGATTTCGAATTTTCTGTATTTACATGCCGAGATTTTCCAAATTGTTTTGCATTATCTTGTTGATTTGAGTTCCAATTATTATTTAGTTAAATTCCTCCTGCTTCTTAATTTTTAATTACTCTGCAAAAATTATTCATTTGCGAAATACAATCCTGGCTTAAGCGCCCTTAAACTACGGCCTTAACGGTCGAATCGTCGACACTGCAGTAGCGGCACAGGAAGACCGGAAAACCAAGCGGGGACGCTACTTCAATATTAAGCTTCCGTCGCCTTGCTAAGGCGCAAGGATACAACTATTTGAACTCTCCGGAACGCGTGAGGTATCACGCCTCAATTGAAGGCGTTTTCGAATCTTCTGCATTTGCATAACGAGATTTTCTGGTCCCATAACATTCGGAGCGTGGAGGAAAGGGAATGACTGATCTTTCGAGCTACTGCCACGGTTACGCGGGCATCCCCTTGATTTATTTTTTGTGCCTTGCTTTCGTTCCAATTAATTATGAGATCAAAATTTGCTCGGACGTGCTTTGGCTCGTATTTAAGCCCACATACACATTTTTTATTGCAGTTCTTTGAATTTTATTGTTGATTTGAGTAACTTCTATTTAGTGAAATTCCTACCGCTTCCTTGTTCTTAGTTCTTCTACACAAATTATCCATTTGCTAAATACTAGCCTAGATTGAGCGCCCTTACACTATACGCTCAAAACTGCAGTCTGCAGTAGCGGCAAAGGAATAACCCGAAATGGCTAGCGGGAAAGCTGCATCAACATTATTCTTCCACTTTCTTGGTAAGGCGCATAGATACAACTATTTGAACTCTCCGGAACGCGTGAGGTATCACGCCTCAATTGAAGGCGATTTCGAATCTTCTGTATTTACATGACGAGATTTTCCAAATTGTTTTTCATTATATTGTTGATTTGAGTTCCTTTTATTGTTAAATAAAAAAAAAAAACGTGTAAATCCCTATTAAAAACTTTGGAGAAAAATAAAACAAAGAAAATTGTATAATTTATTTACATTAACGTGTGAGCTTACTTTGATACTTTTCATTTTCAAAATCTCGCACATTTAATTTATGAATTTAGCATAATGCAAGGGATGCTTCAAGAAGACAATTTTACGAGGAAACCAATGAAACCACTTTTAGAACCTCAAAGTTTTGTATGAACGGAGTTATAAGCGTTTAAAGTTTCCAAATTTTGTCCGACCTCTCCTATTGACTCGATCAAATATGCGCCAAGAATATTCTCAAGAAGTGACAAAAATATAAAAAACATCATATAGACGGTGATTGATCATCCTAGACCACATTCCGTCAATATTCCTTCTGCTTTTTTAACACGAAACAAATCAACATCATGACTTGAAATTTAGTCAGAAATCGTCTCGCACGATGAAGATATATTATGTAAATTTTTAAGAACTGATGTTGGGTAATTCCTCCTTTAAAAAATACAGCATGACAGGAAGTTTGCAACGTCGCAAACCAAGATGCGTAGTTTGGGATTTTCACCGTGGATACGAGCACCATTCAAATAAAACCTGTAGATCATGCGTTACCCGTAAAATATTTCCTATCTTTCTGCAATATTATCTGTAAACATTCTCAGAAAAGTTTCTAATTTGTATGCTGCACTTGTACGCGTGAAAAAAGGACTCCCTAAGAACCCATGATCAATATGGAATGTCATCTACTGCTGCCAACAAACTTAACGTGCAAACAGTTCTCAAGCGTCAATCATCTTATAACAATCTGCTGTACTACGGCAAAACACCGTATGATCATCTAAACGTTGCCAAATTCCCTCTTGAAAAATATTTATTTTAGAAGGAAGTTATTAATATTTTTCCTTGAAATTTACAGACTTTTCAGATCAAATTACGAACGGAATTCACCCCAAAAATGAAACGAAACTATTCACAAATTTCCCTGAAAATCCGTGATTTGTCCAAGGAAGTTTGGCAACGTCTGAAGGCTCATACGGCGTTCATCCTTATCACGGCAGTATGTGTAGCGGGTACCTCGCGGGGAACGCATATCTCCTGCGAATGCGTTTTGCTCAGTGTCACGTTGATAAGTAGCGTTTTCAAAAGTGCCTTCAATTTAAGTGAACGCAGAACGCGTTACTCCCGAGCTCCCTGGTTTCCTTTCGAATGACCGTTGGTGCCACGGTCTTGCGCTTGATGCAACGCGTAGATTAAGCTTATTGACACAAAACTTTGACATTTTTGACATGAAAAAGGATGTTGGTTCGACTCATTGAGCAGCAAACACGCAAGTGAGCTGACACATTTGGAATGATTTTGAAATTGACCGCGTCAAGCAGAAAGGAACCAAGTCGCATCAGATATTGCCAAATTTAACTGGGCAATTTCATTTTGTTTGAGAGAACGTTTGTGCGGATTCCCTTGAAAATTGTAAGAAATTTGCTTCCTATTATGGAAAAAGTTCACTGAAATTTGCACGTAAATCCCCACAACCGTTTTCATGTAAAAAATCAAACCGTCCAATCAAATTTGGTAATAACTGATGTGGCTTGGTTCCTTTTTGTTTAACGCGATCTAAGTAACCGACAAGCTTTAAGGTTTGAAACGGTTTCACTGCGATAGTATCCGCTGTGCATATGAATTTGCTGGATATCAACTAATTATTGTAAGTGTACATGCCGTTCATGCCAGGGCACTCATGTGAATTATTGATGTCTTTTTTCGTCTTATAAGTTTTTCGTAACCTCCATCTTCTGTGGAATAATTGGATTGCATTTTGCAAATGACTTCCAATGTAGATTGCCGGGATTGCCGGGACGATAAAATTTAGGAGAACAAAATTACTGAAATGGCTAATTTTACGAGTTAATGCAACAGTTATGGACCCATCGCAGGGTTTTAATTTTTAGTTTAAAACTTCTTTCCCCGATGAGAATAAGCGTATGATTTGCGCTAAACGTCTTGCATGTTTTATCGATCTATTTATGCATGTTATTCACATTTGTATCGTCTTTTCTTGTATTTTATCGTGTGGTTGAGGTCCTATTATATCGTTCAGTTTTTTTGCTTCTTACTCATTTTAATCCTCCTAAAAAAATTACCCATTTGTTGAATACAATCCTAGCTCGAGCACACTTTAAGTGTGCCTTCATGACTGCAAAGATGGACAGGAATAACCGACAAGGCCAGCATGCGAACGCTACTTCAATTATAATTTTCCGCACACCATTGGTAAGGCGCAACGATACAACTACTCGTACTCTCCGGAATGCGTGAGGTATCACGTCACAATTGAAGGCGTTTTCAAAACTCCCAAATTTCAATATCGGGATTGCATGGAATGACGATAAAAAGTCTAGGAACAAGATAAATGAAATGGCTAATTTCACGTGTTAATGCAACAGTTCTACGCCCAAAGTCAAGTTTTAATTTTTAATTTATAACTTATTTCCCCGATTGGGAATGATCGTGCAATTGGTGCCAAATGTCTTGTGTGTTTTTTCAATTTAATTACCTTTTTAGACACATTTTTTACCGTCCTTCCTTGTAACTTATTGTTGGTTTGAGTTCATATTATTTTATTGGTTAATTTTTTGCCACTTGATCATTTTAATCCTCCGATAAAAATTACCCATTTGCTAAATACGATCCTAACTAGAGTACACTTAAACTATGCGGTCAAAACTACAAAATCAACAAGGCCAGAGTGGAAGCTACTTCAATATAAGTCTTCCATCGCATTGCTAAGGCGCATTGATACAACTATTCGTACTCTCCGGAACGCGTGAGGTATCACGCCACGATTGAAGGCGTTTTCGAAACTGCCAAAGTGCCAACTTCCCATATCGGGATTCTTGTATCGCATAAAGGGTGTCTGCTGATGATGGCTGGCAAATATTAAATACTTTAATCAACAGCAATTTTTCAGTACCTTTCAAAAAAATTCAGTGCTTTTTAGGTACCTTTAAGTGACGAAATTCGAAAATTGTCGGAATGGACCACTAGACAATAAGGTACGAATTTCAGCATTCTGATACATGTTTCTTGGCCAAAATTTCACGTAGAACACGATGCGCACAACAAAAATTACTGAAATTAACTCCTTACGAAGATATTTAATGATTCCTGATGCGTGAATTCAAAACACCCGCTCATGAAAACTCAATGGTCTGCGTGATTCACATCGCGCGCTAAACGTTATCATGACAGTCTCTGCGATATTAAAATCTTGCAACCTCAATCTTGACGCTTTGACTCAGCACATTGGCAAATTGCTAATAGTTTGAACAACACATAGTGGGCAATGAACATTGCTTGATTGAGGAGCTTGCTGAAACCGTTGTAGTGCGCGATTTGACATGCTTACATTTTAGCACCCTGATCTATTAAGTGTGAGCAAGTTTATGGCACGCTGCGGCGCGGCGTACTGCCGCTGCCAGCTCGAAATGCGCACTGACGCCTACAAACTTAAGGGATACTTCAAGCATTGCGCAATGCGTGAAGTATCCCTGTTAGGTTTGTAGGCGTCAGTGCGCGTTTGCGCTGGCAGCACGCTGCGGCGCCCCCGATGGGCGGGCGGTGAACAATTTCTTGCGGGGAGAGCTCCCTGGCGGAAAAACTTGATTATCATGTACTTTTCTTTTTATTTTTCAATTTTTATTTTTTTTAGTTTCGACTTTTTAAAATTACATACTGGTCGTGTGAAGTAATAAGTGAACTCTTAACGCTAGATGAAATGTAATAATGAAAGGCAGGTCGTGCGCCATGCGCGCTGCAAACGGCGCAGGGCGGCTCATAAAATTTTCCCCTGTGCTCTGTCGGGTTATCACGTGAATTCCCCGTCAATTCAAAGTTACCGCGTAGCGTAATAAAACGTTGGCGATGTGATGACTGCCTCGCTAATCCACCAATCAACGTAACCCGGTGATTCAAAACATGTGGAGCTCTGTTTATTTTTAGAATAATTTCCTTTTATTATTCAGCATGATCTAGCTTAACTTTTAAGTTTCTCTTTAAATTTAGGATCTTAATTTTAAGCATTGGTCTCTCTTTCTACAAATTCACCAGGATCTAAGTGCCAACGTGAGTATTATGCAAACTTTTCAACTTTCTAGGTTAGGTCATGGTGATAAGATTTTCCTCCAATTTGAAATTTTTATCAAAATTGACCATCAGTACTCTTCTGTTGGAGCTATGCCCGACAGTTTGCATCATTAAAAAATCTAGAAATAGTAAAATTATGTCTCTTACCGTCGTCTGGAACTATTTTGCCATTGAACACAGATTTTAGAAGACTCGTGCATTGAGTTCTCTGGAGTAAACAAAGAGCAGGTGAACTACCTTCCAGATGAATTTTTATGAATAGATAACCAGTTCACAGTCTTATTCGTTACTTTCCTTGATACTTGTTTGTCACAGTGAACTCTATTTTGCTGGTTACTCCTCCTACGTTCTCAAACTTCCTGACTAGTTGTGATCCAGAGATCCGCCAGGTGGCATACTTTCTCAATGCACACTTGAAATTGTGGGTACTAAATTTCATGAAGTGCAAGAAGACAATTTAGTTTTCTCCTCTCTCGTTCAAGAAAGAAGAGTTGGCTGACACTAGGTACTGTACCACTTAAATAAGGTGGAAAGGCAGTACACTTTTTAAGTCTATGAAATTTCCTTGATGAAACTCCTCTAAATGATTGGTAGAGCTCACACATTGTACGTTGAGAGAAACGTCAATATCTGATACCGATTACCTCTAAATTAGCACCACTCATCAAGTTAATACATGTAGTCACAAGGCACCACTGATAAGTGGTAACATGAACAATACGTAGATGTTTGTCTCAACATACCATGTGCGAGCTCTAGAACAGTTCTGTAGGACCAGGCTGTAAACTCCTCTGCGCAGTAATTTTTCTCAGCCCCACTCACTCATGTATCTGTTGCGTCAACAATACCACTTCTAACTCAATGACACTATCGGACATTGGCACCTAGGCATGTGAAAGCGTCTCTCATACCAAAGTAAAAAAAGTTACATGCAGTCTCATTAATTTTCCTCAATATCTCTCCATATCTCTTTGATTTACTTGATAATTTCTCTGTTACAAAGACACCCGATATCTGTCTAAAACTTGAAAATTGAGTGAATCATCTGAACCAATCACCTTGTTATTTTAATGAGTTTTTGAGTCACTTAACCTACATCTATAAACTTCCTGAATCGTAATCCAGGAAGTTCACGCGGCTTGGATTAAAACCTATAAAATTTGCTGCCTATTTCTTGTGACTCAGTGATCATTCAACTTCTGATCTAGGCTCTTTTGAGAACGCTAAACACTTACCACTGGAAGAAAGTTGTCCCCCTTCTCATTGCAGCAATGCACTTAAATCTATTTTTATCCTCTTGATTCCTAAATTCAAAATCAGTTGACTCGCTTTCTTGTGATCATCTTATCCAACCTTTTTAATATCAATTAAGAAGGTGTAAAGATACGATGGACATCGTAAACATGTGATTAACCATATTCTCTCATCTGTTTTGTATTGTATTGAATTTTTTATCAGCACGGAGTAAATAGAATGAAAATATTCAATGTTTTTAGTATGAGCTAGTAATGGAAGGGGTAAAAGCAATTTCTGTAGATCCGTAGCTTACCCCATCAAGAATTTGATTTCAAATTGTACATGAGAGAATTTTTTTTTTTATTAGTTTCTTTTGCAACTAGTTTAAGTATGTTAGAAAAATGCATTCTGTGATTCAATTTTTGTCTTCTTTTTTATAATTTTTATTTGTTTTTCTCTATTTTCTAGGTTTGTTATGGCACCCAAGAAAGTAGAAGAACCGGAAAGGAAAGCATTTTTTGGTAGGATTGGCACCAACCTTAAGGTCGGTATTGTAGGTGTGCCGAACGTTGGAAAATCTACCTTCTTCAATGTCTTAACCAAAAGTACGGCAGCGGCTGAAAATTATCCTTTTTGCACAATCGACCCCAATGAAAGTAAGTCCCTGTTTAGTTACCATATTTAACCATTGCGTTAAAGGTACATCACCATTTTAAAGGAGCTCGAGCTTGAGTAAAGTTCATCATTATCTTATTCATATATTCATTATGTTTTCCTGTATGGAAGCACTACCACTCAAGTGTGGAAACAAAACAAGCAATCTTTGAACATTTTTAGCTCAAAATTCTTTATTCCTTGATGGCCAAGAGGAGGATAACTGACAAAGGGAGGCTCAGAGGCGGCTGCCTCAGATTTTAGCGCGGTTTACAGCTATGCGCGGATCAAAGCTGGCTCATGAATGTATGTTTTTTAGTTTTCACCAATGGGCCTCCACTGCCCCCAAATCGTGTGATCTTCCGTGATGTGAGAAATGATCACCCGCTTTTCACATATTCCTCAGTTGTGGTGGAACAGCTCAACACTAGGCAAGAGGAGAAGAGATCATGGATTCAAATCTCAGGCTGAAATCCTGTTTTTAATGCCGTTTTTAATTTTACCAATAAAAATATTCTTTCCCCTCGAACCTCCTCCCCACAAGAATAAAAACTCTACTAAATGATTATGTAAGATGAGCTGCTGCCATGTAAGAAAAGGAACTGATGAGTTTCGAGTTTTTTTCTTATTGGCAGGTGCCCATCATACGCAATAATTTTGTAGAATTTTATCTGTAGAATTTGTCCATTGGGAGGTAGTTTTAGGGAAGAGGGTTATTTTGGATGATAAAATGAAAGTTGGTATCTCTTTTTGAATAATTAATAATGAATTCCTCTTATCCTTGCAGATCGTGTTCCTGTCCCTGATGAGCGATTTGACTTTCTTGTTGATTATTTCAAACCTCTCAGGTATAGTATTTGTTTTCAGTTTTTTCCTCAGTCAGTAGAAAATTACTTACCTACCATCTTTGTAAATATTGTTTTGATTTACGGAGGCATTGAAGAATAATAAAATGAAAGAGAAAAAGTTGATAGTCCGTAATAGCTGACCATCAAAATATTATTTCATTTAATTTGAATTTTTTATCTAAAGAAGTATCATCAGAAAACTATTCCTTATCACAGATTCCCTTTCAAAAATTTAGAGACTCACACTGTAATCATACATTGTACAATTTGACTACTAATAATTTGCAGATGAAAAAAACATTTGTCCGATTTTTGGTTGTGTAAAGGCTGTTTTCAAAGTGATTCGTTAACTGTTAAGGCTACTTCAACCAATACAACTCTTATGGCTTAAGACTTACTTGTTGAGGAATGACTATGGGGAAGACTCTGACACAGCTCCGGTGTTTCGATTATTGAAATTTATAGACAAAACTATAGACAAAGAAGACATAAGGAGTATAGGGCGATCCTATTGGTTGAAATGGGTGGTTCTTATAGACTAAGGAGCTAAATGATGGACTAACTATCAGGTCTCTCTTGGGTTGCTGTTAGTTAGTCTATTACTTACGTCCTTTGTCCATTGCAACCACCCACTTCTACCAATAGGATCCCTCCATATCCTTTTTGTCTTCTTTGTCTGTTGTTTTGTCTGTCAATTTCAATAATCCACCCACAGTAATAGTGACTCCCAAATGAGCCTGAGAAAATTTAAGACCAGGATTTGCGTGTCTTCAACTTTGAAGCTTGTGCATTAAAGTTCCTATTATTTTCAATCCTGGGTAAATCATGATAAAATTATATTTTCCCCACCGGGCCGCAACACTAAATTTTCCGAATTTTCATTACAATTGTCTCTACTAGTAACACCCTGCTCTTTGAGGGTACCGATTAATCGCATTCTTGCCTTGAAGAGTGATACTCAAATTTGTTTAATTAATAATATTTTCATCTCTTTTTACAGCAAAGTTCCTGCATTTTTGAACGTTGTTGATATTGCTGGATTAGTCAAAGGAGCTGCTGAAGGTCAAGGTCTGGGGAATGCATTTTTGTCTCATGTCAAGGCTTGTGATGCCATTTTTCATCTATGTCGTAAGTGATTCCATTTATTACCCGCACTTAAACAATTACTGATTTGATGCGGTCCTCTCACTAGGTATTGCTATTTTGATAATGAGATTGTGGAAATGACAAACAGCAAATCACTTGACTAAATTGAAAGATGGTCAAAATTCTCCCCCTTTCCAAAATTTTGAACAGCTGTCAAATTAATTGTTCAGTAATTTTGATGAAAATGAGTTGTTTTGGTCACGTGTTTTTGCCAAGCTGAGAAAATGGCAAAATGTAATTGCTGTGAACTTTCATTACCGAAGATTGCTGCAAAGCTAACACTACCTCTTAGTTGCACACGTTACAATATGTTTAACACTTGCATCTGATTACTTCCATATGAGACCAGTATGTATCGTTCTTATAGGCTAGCAACACCATGAAAACACAGAAGTGCAGAAACTTCTTAACCTTACAATTAGCAGTTTACGATCGGTTGTCTGCAAAAATGGGAAGGCTGGAATTTCAGCGCAAAAATTGTGAATATTCTGCCCAATAAAGGAAGATTTACATGTTTTCTGCTGAACTGCATTGATCATGGTGTATATTTTGCAAAATTGTGGCAGTTTTTATACGAAGAGCAAAACAAAAATCATCACTTTGAAATTTTTAGGAAAAAATGGTTTCTAAAATGGGTAAGCCAATTTAGAAAAAAGAAAAGCTAGGAACTTTCTGCATTCCAGTCAAAACTCCAAAACAGGTAATGTCTATCTGTTGCTAGGTTCCTTGAACTTTTCGAGGATGAATGTCTTCTTATTACTTGAATTTCATTTTTACTTACCCTTATCTTTGATTTCCCAGGAGCATTTGAGGATGAGGATGTAACGCATGTAGAAGGCGATGTTAACCCTGTGAGAGACTTGGAAATTATTAATGAAGAACTGCGATTAAAAGATGAAGATTATTTAAAAAAGCAATTAGAAACTCTGGAGCGTACAGCTGTCAGAGGTGGTGATAAAAAGTTGAAACCTGAATACGTAAGTTCACACAATTATCTGAAGATTCAGAGTACCTTTTTAAGCTGAACCTAGCTGGAACTGTCTACACTGAGATTTTGACGAAAGACCTATGTTCAATAATTCAGTATAGGTAACATGTGTTAGATAAGGGTGCGTAAAGAACTAGACAGCGCAAAGAGCAGATGCCTCAGACGTAATGGAGACACTCATAAAAACCATTGAATACTCAGTTTGCACTGATTGTCCCATAAGTAATGCAAAAAGCTCTTGCACTGGCAAGCAGTTGAAGCTGAGAAAATTTAATTTGACTAGTATAGCTTTGAAGTGTCTGTGAGAAGTTTCTACGATCTAAATCACCCAAGCTATGATGATTATTTGTTTAGGAGTACTTTGCAAATTTTAAGACAGCTTTTCTAGAGAAAAAAGTGATTTTAAAAACACCACAAGAATCAACTGAGAAGAAGCAATCGTTGAAAGACTTTGACAAATAATCATGTAATTGGCATTACTCTTTTTTCATGTCCCCCAATGACTTTTAATAGTAACAAAAAATTATCCCCAAATTTTTCCTCAAAAGAACTTAAATTTCTCCTTTGTTTATTCAGGATAGCTTAATGAAAGTGAAGACTTCCCTCATTGATGAAAAGCAGCATGTCAGATTTGGCGATTGGGATTCAAAAGATGTAAGTCTATAAAAACCAAACCATTTGAGGGTTTGTAATACTCCTTTTCATGAATATTAGAATCTGCTATAAAGACAAAAAAATCTACTGATAATTACATCTATTCTGTGGAAACAGAGACATAATTCAGTCTAATCTGGGAGAATCTAGATTATGTAAAGAAGACAATATTAAATCCTACCCAATTGGATGATTAAAAGCAGAAAAGTGAGCTGTTCTTAAGTTACCAAGGCATTTAATGGGAGATCATAAATGCTACATAGACCATCATGCATACTATTTGGACGAAACAACTCATGTGATACAGTTATGTTCAGGAAATGGTCAGCTTTGATCGGGTTTAAGGTGCTCGATGCTTGAAGGGTTGTGGTTTGATAGGGGATAATGGCAGGTAGGTTTTTTAGAGTGCCAGGGAGTTCTTTAAAGCGATATGTGTATATGTGTATAATTGATGACTCATCATTTCTCCTTGAAAAAATTTTAAATGCAGATTAAGCTTTTCTACTACATAATTTTCTAATTGCCCTACCTTTTTTCACCATTTTCTGCCACAAGCGTCAATCTTTGAAGACTCTAAATTTAAGTATCCGTATAACTACACTCTGTAGACAGCATGTTATCTTAGTCTAAATGTACTCTGTATTTTCATACTGGAGTGAGCGAAACTCAAGGTTTTAAGTTGGACAAGATAAAACAGGCAAATTGAGTAGCCTTCATTTGTAGTAACGTTATCTTATAAATTACAAATCATTTAAAGTACTCTCTGTTTTTTCCCCCTTTTTTTTATCTAATTTTAATGCTCCTGCCCTAACTTGAAAACTTTAGACGTTTAAAATCATCAAACTCAATGTTCCTTCTTTCTGATCATAATATTTTTTACCTTTTTTTTAGATTGAGGTTCTCAACAAGCACATGTTCTTGACTGCCAAACCTGCCATGTATCTTATCAACTTATCGGAAAAGGATTACATAAGGAAAAAGAATAAATGGTATTTAAAAAGATTCAACAGCATTAAAAAAATTACATCATACTATTCACAAATAATCTTTGTACGCAGTAGAAGCCTAGTATCAAAAACACTGAATTTTTTCCATTGAACAGTGTGGATAGCATTAGTAGATAACCACCTGCACCAATTTTCTGATTTAAGCAGTTGACGGTTGCTGCGCGGAATTCACATCAGGATTTTTTTTTACAGAGTATAACATATGTGAGTTTTTTCTACGGAGAACAACAATCGTACAGAGGGTAGCAGACGCTTGTAGTAATTTTTTTATTTTTTCACTAGCTGGAAGTAATTATACAATAAATAACAATTTCATGAGTCTATAAATTTTCCCAGCAACGTCAGGAACACTTTATCAAACTTTTGTCTAAACAAGAAAAGGAAAGGGAAGGTAATCATTCCAATTCATCATGAAGCGGAATCTGTCCCGAATCTAAATTTTAATTTCATCGGTTTCATTTTGAAAACTTTTCCTCGTTTAATTTTCTATGCTTGAATAAAGACATTTGTACAAAAAATAATTGTAAGTGATGGATGATTGACTTTGTGATTTTGCCTACCTTCTAGCAGAATTATTTTAAATTACAGTATTCTGTCTCTATAGCCAGGACCCAGAAAATCATGGGCCCTAACCAGGGCTTGGAAAATTCATTTGGCACAGAGCAATGGCTTGGAGTGCTTTGCGATATATTGATTGATCTGCCGTGTGAACCTATGGAAAATAATCTATAAACAGGGTGTTCGCAACAAACACCTTAATAATCGATTCTTTACCATAGCTTCAAGGGGGAAATATCGGACATCGATTATTCTCGCCTCGCCACTGGTACAGAAAGAGATCTGGTAGACAGAGGGCTAAAGGGGGAAAAAATATCTGTCAAGGGACTAGAGGAATTATCTCTGTTACAAAGGGGGCTGTTACAGAGAAGGAGTACTCTCTTCTTTAAAACTCAGTCCTCCTACAGAAAATGAGAAGCATTCCTAATTCTTTTTTCTGTGGTCAAACATTAATTTTTTTTTTATCGATCTATTATACAGTCTTTTTATTGATTGCATAGGTACTGAAAGGTTTAATGAAATTCATGAAAAATCAAAATTGAGCTCTCATTTTCAAATTTTTCCACAGGTTAATCAAAATCAAAGAATGGGTGGACAAAAATGACCCAGGAGCCATTATCATCCCATTCAGTGGTGTCTTCGAAAATAAACTCCTGGATATGGACGAGGCAGAAAGAAAACAGTACTTAGAAGAAAATAAGATCACCAGGTAAATTTATTTTTTTGTTGGTCTTTTTTTTCTTTCTTTTTTGGCTTCTTTGGAACTTTCAAGCAAGATTTTTGACGAATATATCAACAAAACAAAACAATGAACAGGGGGGGAAAAAATATCAAAGTTTCAAGTTTCATACTACTTTCAAATGATCCATGCTTGTGGAACATAAAAATCTTTTCTTTTGGCCCTGTCAGAGGTCCAAACTCCAATGTTCCTTTGTGGGAAATAAAATTATTAAAATAATTTGGAAAAGTTTCCACATTTTTTTCTCCTAATTTGTAACGACAGTTGTGAAATCAGTTTCAGTATGTTTGGCTCTCTTCATTATATATTACTCCTACTTTTCTGTATGTTACCTACGATCCCTCGTTTTCCGCAATCTTGTTAATGAATGTAGGTCATATCTAGTACAAATCTTTACATAAGTTTTGCTAATGACCGTGTTAGAACTATTATTTCTCTTTGATGTTTGATTTATTAATTCATTTTATATTTTTGTCAATTTAGCGCTCTAGATAAAATTGTCACCCAAGGATACAAGGCTCTTTCACTCATGTATTTCTTCACTGCTGGTCATGACGAAGTCAAAGCATGGACCATTCAGGTAATTTTATAATCTCCTCAAGCAATTTTAAATAGCTACATAGTTGTGACTTATTGATGAGTATAGATTATAGTTTTATTGAGCATTTTCTCTAGCCAGAGTTCACACCTGAACTGAGAATAACAGGTAAGTAATGCAAATTTTAATAATTACAGAGCTGTCATTCTACGAGTCAGTGTAGATCTGAGAAAACTTTATTTGTGAATAATCTTTTTACAGTTTTAAGGTTCTGAAAAAATATGAACACAATACATACAAATTTTATAAAATTATTAGCAAATGTGACATTATCCTTGCTTTATTTCAGGTCAGTGATAACTATTTTGAATTACATAAGCGTCATTAATCCAACCCTTGCCCCTGCTAAATTGTCACAAAGTAAGAACAATTACAGGCGACATTTTTGAGCCCAGAATCTGTTATCAGCATAATGCCCAATTGGACTTCATTTTGCAATTAAGACCTATTATATTCAGCTTATCGGTAAAAACATATATGCACGAAGAAAAACCAATGGTCCATACGTTGTTTCTAAAATAAGCCAGAAATTGTAATTCCTTATTGCAAAATGCAGTACAATTAGACTACAATGATTAGCTATTCAAACTATATATTCGACCATTTCATTTTACTCTGAGATGTCTTAATAAAAAATTGGTTTCCCTAGTGCTTTCATTTGAAGAGGTCATAAAGTTCTAAATTTAGCTGTTTTCTAATGTTTTTTTTTTCTCTCTTTTTTCTGCATAGAAAAACACCAAAGCTCCTCAAGCAGCCGGTAGAATTCACACTGACTTCGAGCGAGGTTTTATTATGGCGGAAGTTATGAAATTTGAGGACTTCAAGGAATGTGGCTCAGAAGCTGCATGCAAAGTGAGTATTTTATCCTCTTTTGAAAACCTATGGAATGGGATCTTAGATGATTCAATCATTGCATCATACAAAACGGTTTCTCGGACTAGGCCTCTAACCATTCAACAGGGCACTTGAAAGTCCCTGAAGATCGGCGGAGAAAACATGCTTTCTTCGTCCAAGTTAGTAAATTTGAATTTCTACTAGCCAAGAAACCCTTGTTTCAGGAGGAAAAACTTTTTGGAGAGGAATTTTTTTCATAATCAGAGTGAAAAGTAGGAGTTTTGGGCCTTGTCCACACAAGCGCGGTTTGTGGAACTTAGTTCGAGGAACTTGTTCCCGGAACAAGTTTTAGCTGAGCTGAAAACTTATTCCTCCTAAACCCGGAACTTCTCCTGTATTCCGAGCTTCTACATATGTTTATTTTAATGTGAATTTTTTTGTTTTTTACGTCCTTTACATGTCTTGACATTTATTCTCGTTTCTTTGGCAGCCGTAATAATCTATTATTTTGCGATAATTGTATAGTTTTATTGAAGTTCCGGTTACAGTTCAGGCGAACTCGTTTGGACAGCATCCCTCCTTTCAAGGAACATGTTCCGGGAACTGAGCAGTTCGTCGAATAAGTTCCTCGAACCCAGCTCGTGTGGACAGGGCCTAATCTTTTTAAAGAAATCTCTATGGGATCACGAAGAATAAGTTGGGAGCCATGCATTTCATTTTCGTGCCAATGAGGCTCCTGCATGTATCAGGGACATACACTTTAATTACTTTAATAATGTACCAATTTTGAGTTTGTTCTAATAATTTCTCTGTTTTGCAGGCTGCAGGCAAGTACCGTCAGCAAGGAAGAAATTACACTGTTGAAGATGGGGATATCATCTTCTTTAAATTCAATGTTACATCTGATAAAGGCGCCAAGAAGAAGTAAAGGCAGTCAAAACTTGGCGGAACGAACATGTGTTTTTATTTTTTCACATCTCACAACAGCTGTAAAAACATTATGTACAAAGTAAAGATTTCAGTTTTTTGTACTATTTTCGCATGATTATCATATTTTTACTTGAAATTATTTATTGTCAAGGCTTAAAAGCCCCTAACCAATAAATTAAGAAATGATCCAACCAATCTGTCTCTTATTTTAAAGCCATAATTTGTTTCCTGTCATATTTTCTCGATATTTCATCTATGGTAATGACTCGATTATTTTACCTCTGATTACTCAATGCTTTGGTTATCTGCTGACAAGGGGAGCTTCCCAAGTGTAACCGGAATTTCGAGTTGAAATTTCGCATGAAGATACTATGAAGATACATGAGTATCAGTCGAATCTGTATCCGTATCTGACTGATACTCCGGAAATTCAGCTTGGCAACGAAATTTGGTGAGTTTTAGAGTGTTTTGTTTATTCAATTATATCCAAGAGAAACTTCGAGTTTTTATCAGCATATGTAAAAAATCTTCAGTCACTACGTGTTCTACCTCGTAAGTCGGTTTGCGGAGCGAATGGTGCAAAATAAAGTAAGTGAAAAATAAACAAGCATAAAGTAAAATAAATTTACGGGCTGTATTCAGGATTCGATCCTAGGACCTCCCGCCTGCGAGGCGAGCGCGCTACCGTTTGGCCATGCGGTACTGATAAGGACGTGGTGCCTCTATCACCTACGTTTACCTTGTGCCGCTAGCGCACGCGTTTTTTCCGCATCTTTAGCCCTTTTTTTGAGGGCTTTCCCGACCCCATTCGAAAAAACGAAAAAATACGGCATCCCTAAAATCATCTCTAGTATCTTCATGCGAAATTTCAACTCGAAATTCCGGTTACACTTGGGAAGCTCCCCTTGTGAGTCAATTTTGAGTTTTTGGTCTAAAACAAGTTAGCTGACAAATTGAATGTACATATATTGGTGGCTAAAGTGCTTAATCATATATCTCCATTTGCGACGTTGAAGACCTCATGTCATATTTTATTTTTTCTTTGGAAAAACCACCTGAATTTCAAAACAACCATTTACATGAAAACTACCTAAATTCTTATTCGATGTTAGCAGAATAGTTGGATTACATTTTGCAATGAGGAGCCACCACCTCGAGCTCTTCCATAGAAGCACGTATCTGCATTGGGAAACCAATGGAATATATATTGTTTCTAAAATGAGGAGAAATAATGGTTCCTTATTGCAAAATGTAATCCAGTTGGTATTCATTTCGTTCTTCTTCGAAATAATAAAATGGGAGCAGAAATTTTGAAATGCCATCGATGAAGAAAGTGTAGGATAGGTATTGATTTATTCTGGTGAAGGTGCAATGATAAAACAGAACAGACATGAATTAAAGTTTACACAGAGTTTTGAATTTGTATTCATCATACTTTATTTGTTGAGTGGAAAACTATGCAACATAATTTCTTCAGAAACTTCTACAATTTCTTTTCTTCCGAAGAAGCAAAACAAATTTTTCTTTGAAATATGCTGAGTAAATTTTAATCTATCAGGGTGATTTTGTCTCCCTTAAAAAATCATTATGAGTGCGGAAGTGTTGAAAAGCCACTATTGCGACCACGCCTTTGTTTCTTTTTCTATTTCTATCATTGATATTCTAATTGGACCCCAAAGAAAATGCATGGATTTGTTTAAAATTTGTATTCATGTAATGGATCCCTTACTGTTCTGACTTTTTTCAATGAAGCGCAATATTTTCAACTCATTTTTGCATAACATCTGAAGTCCCATTTGGTTTGACCTAGAGATCGCAGTTTTTCTGAAAGAGGGTAATGTATATTTCTGACAAAGATGATGCTGAACTTTTTTCAGCAATGTTTGAACATTTAACCAAAAACAGGAAAAAGTTAGCGGGAATAGCAAGTTTACAACATACTGAATACGTATTCATTTTTTCAAACTTCCCGCCGTTTCAATCCGGTCCGACAAATTCCATTTATTCCTTGTCTCTGATCATGATCATCATTCCCGTGAAATGAAAAATAAGCACCAATAAACGCAGCTGGTTCTCTTTTACCGATGTTCCGATTTTTTAGCGAAACAAAATAAAAAATTTATTGCTGCAAGTTTGTCAGATTGTTTGTGAAATACAAATCGTTATCACTTATCTAGTGCTACTATACTTAATTTATGTGCCCAATCTGGTAAGTAAGTCCCATCATCCTCCATTGATTGGAATTCCGTGTTTGGCCTGCTTCGTGTGCATGTGTCATCAAACCTCGTGGCTACTACGTTGTAATTTATTTTATTTTGTGCTGTTTTAAGTGTTATCTATTTCTATAAGTAGTTTTAGTTGTTAATTTTTCTTTGTTAAGCCTCCAAACGTGTAAACTCCTGGGTACTTCTTTGTTCGCGAGTTTCAAGTGAAAGTATGTTACCCTGTCTCTAACCTAAATTTTAATCTAAACAGACTGTCTGGAACGCTGTGCATGTTGATTTTAAAATGAGCCACCAAATTTTAGGCCTGTAGAAAAAATTTATGGACTCGTCTCTCCATGAAGTACCCTTTCCTACTTTCAGTCTATAGAATTTTAGTGGATAATCAAAGCTCAGACTGTGTGGCACCATGTGACTGGCACGCACCATTCTTATTACTTGTGCAATAACAAAATGCAAACTTAAACGCGTCTAGTCAACTTTTACTCTATGGGTTATAGTTGGGAAGTATGATTAGCCATGTATATTTCAGTTCAATCTGATTATTATCGTCATCCTATTATCATCTCCCCTGGAGAGGATGGTGCCTTGTGACTCTCACATGGTGTCTAAGGAATGAAGGTCATGTTCATCAAGTATTTATCTACAGCTACTCATCCATTTAACCAGTGTTAATTTGAATAGTAGCACGAGTCCTTAGAATCTGTAACTGAAGTTACTCCCTAAGCTTGAAGAGTGGAATATATTTCTTTACAGTATGTTTGGAGGTATTTTGAAGAATACTTACTTAGTTGAGACGAATTTCATTATTTTTCAAAATTGCCGCAGTTATTCTTGGTACCCACTCTCTTGCTCATTTCAATTCTGCATAAGTTCTCCAGAAATTTTATATGAGGGCATGAATATTTTCTTGGTCTGTTTCGTTGCTTCCATTTTTTTTTGTGTCCATAAACTCTAATCGGATGATTATTTGCCGTTTTTTGCAGATATAATGAGATGTCGATTCTGAAGAACACTTCGAAAGAAGGTGGTCCCTCTATTTTACAACCACCATTGAAGCCGCGGAAATCATTGCGTAATCAAGAAATAAGTCAAGAACGATTCCAAAACCTGCGAGCCCTGTTACTGCAGAAGGACGTCAAAGCTTATGAAGAGCTCGTTTGCTACGTTCGTGATGCAGGCACTGCAATCAAGGTAAAGAAGCAAGCTTATAATTTCTTCTCGTAATAAAAGTATTCTTTAATAAAAGTTATCTGTAGACATCTATACCTGTGTAACTCTTAGGCATATGAGTTCAAGCATTCAGTTTTTGAAGGTAGTTAGGAACACTTTAGGTGATAAAAGGACTTTGCAAGTATTAACTAGAAGCTTAAAATAGAGTAATTGGAGGTTTATATGCATTTAGAATACTGAAAAACAGCAGGAAATAAAAAGGAACTTGGAATCATCAGAGAATCAAATGCTGTAACTTCTCATAGTACTTCTCTTCAATTAACTCTGTTTTCATCCCAAAACGGCTGTGTAAGTACAGCAAGTTAAGTTTTTCAGAGAATCGGATAGTAAAGTTCAGTTTACTACCTACTTCTATTGCTCTAGTGCTTATCTAATCAAATTAAGAAACTTGATGAAAACACGCTACAATTTTAAAGCAACTTCACAGCAAGATATGCTATGAAGGAAATTGAGGTTTAATTACCTCCTAAACGCAACCGAATACTGCTGACTCACAACACAATACCGGACACGCAACTCACAATATCGGAAGAAAACTATCTGCTTAGGAAAGAATTGTACAAAAAGGCTTTAAGGGGAGGAAGATAGTTCCTAAATAAATACTTGTATTTGGTTCTTAAAGCTGCATGAACTGTGTAAGTCTAAGCACACTGTTCCCAGCAATTCCCTAGAATTGAAATTTTTTGAAAATGCTTGCAAGAGTTGTTGTTTTTTCCAAAAATTATATCTTCCTACTGTCTAAAATAAGGTATATCAAAGTATTATCAGTTACTCGGGCCTCTTGAAAAATTTTGATTTCTGAGTTACGTATTATTACAGTTTCACTTCAGACATGATGAACACCTCAAAAAGTTCCTATTTTCAAACAAATTGCAGAAAAGCCCTTTCTTCACAACCGTAGGTATCTGAGTGAGAAAAAAACATAAACAGACAAAGTGAGAACAAGAAAGAGAGATTATCTTTGTTTGGAACCAAAAGTGATGTAGAAATCATTGCTGTTTTATTGCAATGATCAGAAGAGTTCACCGGTATTAACTCAATACTTTGCTGCGAAAGTAACCTCATATTTGACGTTTTCATGGAGTGAAGAAATTTATAGAGCTCAGATTACGCCTGATTTCTCAGACTGCTGTATCTAGTAAGGCATCACTTTATGTCGAATAAGTGTTCATAGCATTTTTCTAATGTTCCAGGACACCGAACTGGTCCAGTTGCTCCATGGAGCCCGTGATTGTATATCAATGCTAAATGAAAACCTTAGGCTGTTTGTACAAGTTCTGTTGGTAAGTTTCTCTTCTCAAAAATTATTGGTTTGAGGGAGGATAAAAAAAAAATTTTACTTTTCACGAATTATAGTGTTATACATTTTAGTTCATTAAGTAACTATATTTACAAATTATCAGATCACAATCTGCAAAACTGTTGCGATTAATTTTTAAGGGCTTTATAAGTGCTCTCAAACGACAAAATTGTTAAGGAGTTCTGGTAAAAAAAAGTGTATTTCCTTCGGAAAATACACTAACAAAAAACAATTCCTGCTAAACGAGTTAGGATGAATTTGAGGTTTATTGTACCTAATTTGTTTGATACTACATTGTCATCAATAGAGTTTTGAGCTGTTTTTAGGCGCATGAATTTTTGAAGATCAGTCGTCTGTCAAAAATTGAAATTCTATAAAAACCTGATTTAACCTCTCACATTTTTGTCTTCAAGGCTTTGGATCGTGTTTCTAAGTGCATATTTCTTCAAAGATTAATTGTCTGTTAAAAATTAGAGTGCCTTAAATGTGATGAAAACCCAAGATATCTGTGTGAAGTACAGAATAAATTTTATTCGTTAGTTCTTCCCTCTGAATTTTTGTCAAATGTCGCTCTTTCATATTTAACATCTTGTCTTTTGATTTTTAGATACTGAAATGGACACACCGAAGTGAAGCCGTAGTAGAAGCTTATCAAGCTTTCTTAATTGACTTATGTCTCGCTCATAGTTATTATCTAAATTTTGCGCTAGATCAGTTAGTAGCAACATTTTGCCGAGGTAAGTTTTGTCGTTTGTCAATCTGCACTTTTCTTATCATATCAGTACTAAGAAAAAATTAAAGCAAGCACTCTTTTGAAATAAGAAATCTTAAAAATATGAATTTTAAACTGGCTGTCGATATGATGTCGATTGGAATGTTCTATTTAAAAAAATGAAAAACCGAATTTTTTGTACCTCTTATACAAACAAACTCTTAATAAAATTGTACCTTAAATTGAATTATTTTGTATTGCAGGCATATGCTTTACCAATATAAATAAGAATTTCTGCCTGTGAGCTCCTTGAATTTAAAATTTCATCAATATTGAGGGACATTTGCAAGAAAAATTTTGTGAAAAACGCTATCATGAAAGATGACGCCAAAGACAAATTTTGAAAAGACAAGGTATTTAATGTTCCAAAACCGTAAAAAGTCATGGAAAAGTCAGGGAATTTTGAAATCCAAGAATACTTGTCACTCTATCTAATTAAATTGTTTGGACCGATACAAATTATTCCCTCATTTATTCCTTAAAATTTCACTGTCTTTTAATAAAAAGTTGTAGGTTTCATTTTCTATTCTCATTGTGTTTCAGTGGACAATGTGTCTGATTGGCTGGATGGACAACCATCAGAGGAGGAAGAGAAAGAGTTTCAGAATGTCCATAAAGTTCTGAAAACCTTTATTGAATTAGTTCCCATGTAAGTGTTTTCCTTCATTTTATCCAGAAAGAAAATAGAGCTGTAGTAAGATGCAAGAATTTCCTCGAAAATGTGTTTTTACAGTAAATACTAGGGAGTAATTAGTTTCTTAGCTCTAAGAAGCACAAAACTGCGCTCTGGGCTGAAAAAAGGGCTTTGAAGCAAGTCATCATTAAATCGTTTCTCATTCATAGAAAAAGAAGTTGCTGAAGTAATATCCTGAATATTATAAATCTGCGCAACATCTCTTGAACGTTGTTATGGAAACTCCGACTGTTAAAGTAACACCCTAGCTACGTTGCATTAACAACCGTGGCGTTCACATCAACATTCAAGAGACGTCTCGCAGATTTTTAACATCTAGGATGTTACTTCAGCAACTATTTTTCCCATGTCAGTCTGAAGCCTATAACATCAAATGAGGCATGGTTACCCTTGATTGATACCATGGTTTCAACCACCTTGAATCCAATCCCACATTTGTTTTCCCTGCAGAATAGTGTGGACCTAGTACTATTCTACCACCTGACCATGATATCATCCCTAAAAAACGACAAAAATATTAACCTCCAACAACAACAATAATACTGCGTTCACGGTTGAGGTACGGAACCTCTTGTTACAATTGCAACCAGAAAGTAAATAAACAAACTAAGGTAAAAAGACGCATGGTGGTCAATTCTTCTCATCATGTCACAAAATCTTTGAATGCACTATTTTTCCATTCAAAAAAGGGTTAGATTTTTGGTGACTTTTAGAGTCTAATCAGGCGTTCTTATTTTTTAAGCACTTCCTGAAACTAAATTTTATAAGAATTATGTAATAGTCCCATTCTTTCATCATTTCCAAAAGTAAAGGTTTTTCTAGTCAAAATGAGTCGGATTAAGTTACCTAGGCACCAGTTTATGCTTATTTCAATAAAGAGCCACATTCAGCACTCATGGGGTAAAGAACATCAGCGTTCCAATAACCGACAATGATCATTTTAATACTGGAAACAAAGTAGGTATCGGCTAAAAAAATTCTGCTCAAAAACCATCTTTTTGTCTGTGATAGGCTTGACTCATTTAAATTTTTGCTTAATCTAGTAGCATTTCATTTGATACAAATGTTTACATTTCTGCTTTTTTTTTTTTCAGGTCACCTAAACTATTGTTGAAGTGTATTAGGAAGCAGTTCCCGTACCATAACAAAAGCAGAGCCACTTATGTGTGCTACTTTCACAATATTCTAGAAATCAGTGAATATGCTCCTATTATCAGATCAGAAATTCTACTCCTAATAATTCAAAAGTAAGTAATCTGAAATCACACTCACCGCCACAATTATTTTACAATCACAAGTACAGTAAAAACATTTTAATTTCCCAAAAAGGCAGATTGAAACAATACAAACTTGAGTGTTTGATCAAGGTCCTTATTTTCATGGACAGTCATAGTATAGGAACTTTAGTCAGACTATTTAAGTTTTATCTAGTAAACTAGTGGTAACTTTAGGCTTTTAGTACTTTCCGCTTGTAACTTTAGTATAATATATTTTTTTCGCTCATTTTTCTTGCAGGTTAATCATCCTCGATTCGTTAGCTTCTAGAAAAGAAATCATCAACTCCGAAGAGGTATCAATGGATGTAGAAGAGGAGCAGTTTTCCTTAGAGTTAGACGCCAAAGCTAAAACTGATCTAACCATGAAATTGGACGCAGCGGACAAGTTAGATGCCTGCTTGAATAGATTTTACGAGTACATCCATAATATGTGTCACAAAGACGGCAAACTCCAGCCTGATATCACTAAAACTCTTTATCAGGAACTGTTCGATATTTTCAAGCAAGTGATTCTACCCACGCACGGAACTTGTCACCTGCAATTCATCATGTTTTACTTGCTGAGTTTTAAACACTCATTAGTGGAAACGTTCCTCAATGCTCTATGGAAGGAAATCAGCAGCCCTGGGGTACCGCCTGTGATTAAACAAGCTGCTGTAGGATATATTGCTAGTCTACTAGCCAGGGGGTCTTTCGTTAAAATGAGGTATGTACTTACTTTTTGGAGTTTACTTTTATGTTAGGTTTTTTCTTTTGAATAAGGTTTTGTGAAGCCCTTGTCTTATTTCTCAGCACCCTTCGAAACTGCAAAATTCGGGTTAAAACTAAAAATTAATAAACCGCTTTTAAGATATCGATTGCCGAAAATGCATATCTCGATTCCAATGTTTTAAAATCATCAAATATTATATTTTACTTTCCTCAAGAATTACCAATCCAATCGTTCCTTTGAAATTTTCTGTAATTTTTATGAAATGATTGAAGAAAATCAAAAATAAATTTCAATAGAAATAGTTGGTTGGGCTTTTTTTTCAAAAATAAAAGATGAGCGGAGATTTGCCATGTCCCAATCTGAGGAACAAATTTTTCTACGTACGACACGGACATGCATTTTGACAATGTTCATCTGAGTCAATTATTAATATGATTGAGTTTCACCATTTTCACTTATTCCCAAACATAAATTAAAGCTGGTTACTTGTCAAAGGTGTTAACTAATTTTATAGCTTTGTATTGTTCTAAGTATTCTTTTCACCTTTAACTTTTGATATTTTTTCCTCTTTTCCAGTTTGTTACAAGCTATGTTGAGTGAATGGGCAGGTTGGATTCACTCGTACATTTCAAACATGGATAGCTATGAAAAAAATATGGTCGGTCAAAAAAGACATCTGGTCTTCTACGCAATTTGCCAGGCTCTGTTCTATGTTGTTGCATTCAGACATTCAGATTTAGTGAACAACAAAAAAAGTAAGTTCACAGACTTACCAATCTCTTATTTTCTGATACATGCCAAAACAGAGATATGTTTACTTGAGTAATTTTAATTATCCAGTAAAATTTTCTTTCAATGAGAGCCATGATTTAAAGAAAATTAAGTCCTTTGTCAACCTGTTTCCTGTGATGTGATAAGTCAAGTATGTAATAGAAGTCAACGGTGATCAGGCCGTTAAGAAGTTGGATGTTAGTGTTCCGACAAAAAACATGAAATCGATGGGCCACCTGCAGTATAATTTTGTCCTAATATCTAATAATATTTGTTTAATTTTTCTCACTTTAGTATTTTGAAACAAATCCGGGTAGAGCATAAAAAAACCACGCTCATGTTCCAAGAGTGATTATGACTCGTCCAATATCAAAAGAATGGAATAAAACAAAAACATCATCAAGTTTTGGAAGTACCCAGAATTGAGGCACTGGGTGCGAAAAGGGCACTTCTTGACTGCGGTGTTTCAGAATCTCAGTTGCTTGTAATGAAATATTAAAGGAGACTCTGAAATACTGCAACCGAGAAGTGCCCTTTTTGCATCCAGTGTCTCAATTTCTCTGTCTCTTATCTGGTGTATATTCATTTGTCTTACTGTATTTTTTATATTCTTGTGTTCCATGAATGAGTTAGAATAGTTCCATCTTTAGCTACATAAATCGCTTCGTTTCTTTTTCAGATATTACGTTTCTACAGAATCTAAACCTAGCCAAAATAGTAACCTGCCGCCTGAATCCCCTGTGCGTGATTTCGCCGGCTGTTGTTAATAATTTTGCTTGTGTAACACGAGCGTATCAATTAGCCTACTGTTATTCAATCATTGAGCACAACACTAGGTACGTCTTACCAAATTTCAGCAAGGATGAAGGATTCGGAGATGGAGTAGCGCTATCAACAACTAGCAGGGTTTCTTTGGAGTCATTTTTCCCGTTCGACCCTTATTTGTTGAAACGGTAAGAGATTTTTACCAAAGCATCCCCTTCCTTTTATTTCTATAGATTAAAACTCAGCAATTATGTTTTAAGTATTATTTATTGGGCATGTTTTTTATTGTTAAACTTTTAATTTACAGTTATTCCTTGAGCACCCTGATCAGAAAGTGAGTTAAGAGCTTTTGAAATGCGCTTTCTGTAACCTGCCTTTAAGATCCTAATTTGTTTAATGAAACCCTGTCATAAGAAGATTAAGCGACTGGACCCAAAAGTGAACACAAGTAGATTATCATTCCATACCAAAAAAAAAAAAAAAAATGAATGTAACAGACATCGCTAATTTCCCTTCAAATCTAATTTTTTCTTGTCATAAAACCTATTTTGCTTAACATGTTGCCATCTGCAATGTTTTTGATACATTTTTCCCCCGGTACCCTGGTCGAAAAGATCGGTGTGGAGCTCATCGGCACTTTTCAATGCCAGTTGATACCACCAGGCCGGCAGGCAATGAGTGAAATTTGAATGTTCAAAATTACTTCCATAGCCTTCCCAAGAATTTTCTCCAAAAATTTGAGAGGCATATGATAATTTTGTTTTCTTTTGAAGAAGTATATTTAAACTTTTTCCAGACTTTGTCAAATGAGCAAGTTTTTATCAGTTGAAAAAAACACCAGAATTTTAATACTAAGTGGCAATTGGGCAATTCGGTCGTAGAAGCATTTTCAAAAACCCCTTGATCATTGCTGATGATCGCATTTTGATTGGTTGTATTATATGGACTGTATCTTGCAAAAAGGAACCAGGAGCAATGCCATGTTGCTACGATTTTGCAACTTCACCATTTGCAATAAAACTACTGTAATCGTGCAAAAATATGAAATTTATATGGTAATTTTTGTCTTAAATTTACAGATTTTAGCAAGAATAGAAAATGTTTAGATGATCAGAGTTTTTCTTCCAAGACAAAAGGAATTGCACAATCTTAGAACCATCGCAATGCTCTTGGTTCCTTTTTGCAAAATGCAATCCATATGATACATATTTGGTTATGGTTACAAATTTTGTAGTGAAAGCTGTAGAAGTGAGTGCTATATGCCGCTGATAGTTAGAAAAATCATTTTAGGTAAAAATTAGTCCTTTCAATAATGAGTTTGAATGATTCTGTTTCTGTAAAATTACCATGTGTTCACTACTGTCAATGAATGTTTATCATTGCAAATACCTAGCAGACTGAAAATTAATGCTAAATGTTTTGTGTTCCATTCCCAGATCCAAGGTGAAAATAGATCCAATTTACAATGAGTACGATAGCGGTCTCTTAAATGAGAAAGGTGTTTCGATAAAGAAGGAAGAGAGCTCTCCCAGCCCAGAAGAAGATGATGAGAATGATTTCCTGATGGACATCGATTCACACACGCCTCAGAGTTCTAACTATGCTAAATTCAATTATGGAACATCTCCCGGTTTTAAAAATCATAAAGTATGAATAAAGTATTAAATTTTATTTGAATCGAGTTTTTCCTTGAAAACACCCTTCACTTCTCCGGCAAAATTTCTCTGGATATTTTTTCAACTTTCACTAGCATAGTCTGCAGCTCTACCAGCAGGTGAGAGTTTGTTTCCAGCAAGTGGATTTAATTTTGAGGACTGAGGGCAGATTTATACGACCAAAATTATCAGTGTGACATTTGTAATCTCAATTTTTAACCTTCAATTTGCTGATTTTGAATCGCAAAGGTTTTGATCCCAAAGTAACGCAGTGCAATGAAAATATTGAAATAAAATTGCAGTTTTTTTTACCAGGAATCGCAATATGTTTACATCTTTTGTTCACAAGATGAGTTACATTTATAGGAAAGGCAATTTGCAATGCAATGACATTTTTCAATTTTTTTTGCAATAAACATCAGTGAGAAGTACATATCCCTTCAATGTAGATAGGTAACACGCACAACACTCCAATGCGGCAGCAATAATAATTTGACCAAGTGTCTACACAATTGCAATTTGTGCTTCTTGAGTTGCTTCCAGAAGAAACTTAAAAGATAGGAACAAACCGGAAATAAAAAATTACCTTCAACTAACGAGTAAAACAAAAATTTATTAATAGATATACATACATTGATTTCTTTTACTATTTACACTCATCCGCTGGGTCTGATTGAGAAAGGTAAAATAGCCATTACAGATAACTATTTGCAAGAAGCTGAGTTTATCTATGAGTAAGTTTACAGTCAACTAAAGAAATACCTTAAAACTGATCGTTTTTCTACTTTCTTGAAATAAAATTCTGATGTCTGTCAGGTTATTATTACCTCAGTTGAGAGAGAATCATGAAACGCTCATTTTATTTCTGGTCAAAGGATGGGCGACTCTAGAGAGCATGTCATGTTGCTTGAAGTAGATCTGGTGAAAAAGCTGCATCAAAGATGGTGAGAGCTATGGTGAGGGATGATTTCTAGAGATGAGGAATTGTGACTTATTTTCTGTACCAGATTTGGGATGACTTCATACGCTTGATTTTCTTCTGAAGTTGCAGGATTCCGTACATTAAAGCTTCAGCTGTGGGTGGACATCCTGCAAGAAAACAATGTACGGCTCATTGAAATTGAGAAATTCTGCCCTTGATTTTGTAATTAGACTGGATCCCTTATGAAGATTTTTATTCATTCTCTCATAGGTAAAGGAGAAAATTCAAAAATATAACACCAGGATGTCTACTGAAAAGGCTGACCAAAAATCAGTAATACTACAAACTTTTTGCGGTGCATTCCCAAGAAATTCAACAATCCCCTCAACAGAAAATTTCAGTACTTTTTCAGCACAACCATTCGATGAAAATGGCAAAATTTCGAAAAATAGTAATTCTAGCTCAAATCACAACAAAAATGAAGAACCACAAAATTTCATTAAATTCATCGAAGGCTTGAAGATTCACTGACTGCACAATTGTCATCTTGCAGGCAAATGCTACTCTAAGAATCGATGCCCAGGAGATTGCATACTTTCCAGGCTTTGTAAAAAAACACACGTGGTATGAAGGAAAAAATTCTAGACCTTTATTTCCGCGTTTATTTTAGTACCCCCAGACCACCTTTAAAAATCAGTATTATTTCTGACCTAGTGCTAGTAGACACCCTGAACTCAGAACAATAAAAATTTACTCTGTTTTGAAGAGGGTCATTCAGTTCTTGTTAGAAAGTAACCATAAGTTGAAACGCATCATTTTTTAGGTATAGAGAATACTTTGTGGTAAATTTTCAAGACTAAAAAATTTCCAAGTTACAATCTGGTAGGTGTCTTAAAAACCAGAACTTTTGACAGCTGTCCTCAAAACACTTTGGGAACTGCAAACAAAATGTATCAACTTCCTTAAACCATTTTGTATGGATAAAAACTTGGAACTAATAAGCCAAACAGAACTATGTGCATTATGACGGGAGCCCTGTTATGCATATATTCTAATGAGTCTCAGGGCTCGTGTCTTGATGCACATATGTAGTTATGTTTGACAGAAATAAGTCCAAATGGTAGAGACACTTACCAGGAACATAAATATCCACTGGAATGAGGCGATCACAACCTCGTACTACCGAGTAAGAATAATGATAGTAGCCTCCTCCATTGGCGCAGCTACCCATGGAGATGACCCATCTTGGATCAGGCATCTAAAAAAAGAAAGAAGCTGTTTTAAACGGTGGACAGAACTAATATACATACACTCAACAGGTTGGCAACCTTGCGCGTTACATGTAACATTGAAAATTACTAATTATTAATTATTAATTATGTCCCAATTGTGATTAATTGATCAAAGGAAACTATCACACGTGTTTCAGACAGGCCTCTGGACGAAGCAATTAGCATTTTTTGGCAGGCCGTTTAGAGGCACGTTGCGTTTACCTCTTGCCAAGCTGTTAAAACGTGACAACCGCATATTGATGGCTAAGGAATTATACCGTCTATCTAAAAACTGAAGATTTTTCAGAACAAGGAAAAAACTAAGCCATTTTTGTAATTTTAAGGTTAGACTTGCAATTTTTTCATACTTAGCAGCGTCATTCCAGCGCTCCCCTGCGAAATTGGAAAAAAAACTAAAATCATCAGCTTGCGTATTTTATACTGTAGAATGCGGCCTAGTCGCTGACTCATTTCTGCCAAATTTGTCAATTAAACGGTATTGTTTTTTAGCCCTCAATATAGATTTTCAGGAATTTATTTATTTATTTTTGTACTTTATTTTATTTTTATGTAGAGAAAAAGAAGAAGTGTGAATGATATTATTCAAAGGATGAAACAATAAAATCAATAAAAATGATAGAGTAAAAACACAAGAGAAAGTTTGGCAGACAGAAATCCATCACCGTAAAATGTGTTGAAATTTTCTACAAGTTAGTCTCTAGCAGCCGTTAGGGCTGTTTCATCGGTTGTCGGTAAGCTACCGAAATAGTTCCGTTCAAAAAAAGTTACGATAAGAGGGCTCCTAACAATAGCGATCAGACTTACGAAAATAAGCTGTTGCCATGTGTACATCTATTTTACTTGCTGCTGCGCCAGGCAATCTGACAAACCGACACACACGGCAACAATGCACTGAGTGTGAGCTCTCAAAACTCCGATAAGGCTGGCTGTTGACGATATCATCACAACTGTCGGTACTGCAGTATCAGTTTAAGACAATACCGATAGCGTACCGGCAAGAATTCGTTTGAACACCCCTGGCAGCCGTCCAGTCAGTTGATTTCTGACCCTAGCAGAATTTTTTCCATAGAGCTTGTGGTTAAAAAAGTCAATCTCAGTATTGCATAAGGTTCAGCTCTCCTGAAGCATTTTACAGTTTGTTTTCGGCAAATTTTATTCAAGAAGCATGCGAGAAAACTGGAGAGGGAATACTAACTTGATCATAAATTTTTCTAAGTGCAGGAGCCATTTTATTGGTTACAGTTCCAGCTACGATGAGCAGATCAGCTTGTCTTGGCGTGGCTCGGAAGACGACACCGTATCTGTCCATATCATAACGAGGTGCAGCGATGTGCATCATTTCTACAGCACAACAGGCTAGACCAAATGTCAACGGCCAGATGGAAGACTATTTGAGAAAACATAGAAAGTGTATCAACATTAAAAATTGATGATAAATTTAAGCTTATCTTTAATAATACCACAAAGGGAGATGATATACCTACTGATTCCAAGGTGGGTCTAGTTTCTCAGATTTCAAAAGTGCCAACGGAGCAAATTGACTTCTAAAAACTAAACATGTCCTGGGATTTGAGGCACTTTTTGCAACCCTAAAATCTGTTAATAGGACGTTGCTGAAAAGGATTTAAAAAAAAAAACACGAAATGGAATCTCAATTTGAGAGTGTCCTTCAAATAGAAAAATAGAGTTTTGATAATTACTGCAGCTCATGGCACAAAAGAATGATAAATTCAGTCCAAATTCCAGGTTTTCACCACCAAAATTAATAAAATAATGTCCTCTGATGGGATGACAGCATGCACCACTGAAAGGCATCCTATGGTTTTTTCTACCTTGACTCGCTAATTAGTGATTGATGACCGAGCAATGGTTGTTGTGCACCTGTCACCAGACAAAACCAATGAAGAGGAAAAAATGGAATGCACTGCTACAATAGAGGATGTCATACTATGACATGCTTTAGGAAAGAGTTGAACTGTTAAAAATTAAAATTAAGAGCTTGAGTAATGTTAGAATTATCTCACATTCATTCTTCAATGAGCAGCAATTGTAAAAACACAATTCTGTGACATGCACAACTTACTCAATACTTATGAAATCAGTTTCATTTCTGCCTTACAAAAGTAGCTAGTTAAAAAACACATTACTTTCCTCTCTGGTTAGAGAGTTGAGTGCGTAATTTTTGTACATCTTTTCTGGGATGTCAGGCAGACAGTAAGCTTACAGATCTATTTTTGTTTTGTATCATTCAAAGAAAAATTTATGATTTCTGTCTCTGCAATATTCCGCAAGCCTAAATCCGAATATTCACTGGAAATACTTTCTTCAGGAGGAAAATAATACATAGTGAAATAGGGTGAATCTTACCTTGCGACCCCAGTTGAGGACATCATCAGCCCTTGCAAGAACATATTCAACCGCATTGGCTTTGTTATGAGTAAAAGGAGAGTATGGAATTTTTTCTTGAGGTGGTGAACCTAAAAGTTAAGATTGAAAAACTTGTTATCACATTAAAGGGGTAAAATGACACTTATTAAACTAAGATCAAGCTTTTCAGGGCACAGCACAGAATTCTGAGGTCATCTGTATTGAGATTCATGAGACTGATAAAATTATCGAGAAATGGTACTTTAACGATGAAAAATGGTCCTTCGAATGGAATATTCTACAATTGTGAGAAATAAGTGTGTTGATGTCAAAGAGTAATAATTTATAAACACATTAAATTTATTATATCAAGGAATATCATTATAAGTAAGGATAAAGGTGCGCAATCTATTGAAAACTCTAAAATTCCTTCACCCTCCGTATTAATTTTTGAGCATATTTCATGTTTCAGTTGAAAAATTTGAGTCACAACTCACTCACTAAAGATGATGGACAGAAGTCTGTGGAAACATGAGTTCACATATTAAAAAAAAAAAAGTAAAAGAATTTAAGAGTTTTTAAAAAATCATGCGACTTTCTGCTTGGTTAAAAGAGTGTGTCTCTACCAGTGTTCGAAACTCACCTTTGAGTTTTAGGAGCCATGTGGTGCATCAAGCCCGATATTTGGGCGCCATAGAAGATATTTAAGGGGCCGAATTGACTTTTCGCCAATTTATTACAGCGCATTTAGTGAAGAGTTAGACGCAAGATGTTTTCATAACAGAACTAGTGAGTAGCTGTAACTTGGGGAAAACAAAAACGCACTAAGAATGAAATCGTTAAGAAAAACGGCCACGTTGGCGCAGAGCCTTCATTTTTTAGGCGCCATGGCCGATTTTTTAGGCGCATTTGGTGCGTTGGCGCCTGTAAGTTTCGAACACTGGTCTCTACTAATTAATGATAATTAAGTACAAATCATTACTTTTTTTCAGAATATCTTGCAGGCCTTACTTACCGAGCTCTAACTTTTATTGAGATCAAATTGAATGGTGAAAAATGGTCATACCTTGAACAGCTGACTGTTGGGTAGGAACATTACTCGATGAACTAGAGGCAGCAGCCTCTGTCTGTGCGTTTCGTGCTGAAACCACCGCTCCCTGTTTAAATAGTGTTTGCAACTGCTTTCCAAAAAGAAGCTGTGCTGGTTTCACTGGAATGAATAATTTTTTAAAGTAAAGAAAAGTAAGTACAAAATTTGAGGGAGAGAAGAAAACCTTGAGAAATTTCAAGACTCAGCCATTTTTGTACACGTCTGCAGAGTTAGAATAGCAAGACACTTAAATGGATTTTGTAGGATACTAAGGATGGCTACGAAGTTACATGTATGAGAGACTGGGAGAGAAGAGCTTTGGAGTTACATTCCACATGATTGATGCAACTAGTGTTTACACATTGGCGTTAATGAGCATTCTTTCAAAATATTAGTTATGAGGACCTTCCTAACCAACTGGCATACTCATGGGCCATGGCAATGTTGATGGGATTTTGCAACTGTTCAATTGCTTATGACTTGAAGGAAAATACGTGGTATTTTCTGCCATTCACTCCAAATATTCCCCCAAAAATTCCTAAGATTTTGGTTGTAAGATGAACAAAGTGGTTGTATAGTACATAATGAATAGAGACCAAGAAATTGTGGATATATTTCTTTAGTTCACTAAAGCACTTTTCAGGTACTTCATCATCAGAGAATTATGAGAGATCTAGAACATTCACGTAGTCACAGTTCGAAATTTTCACAAAATTTTACATCACAAATATGATCTTTCTTGTCATCTATTATGTTTTTAATTTTGGCACCATCATAGATTTGTGACATAAAATTTAGAACTGTGACGATGTTTATGTTTAAGATTTGTCATAATGCTATGATGATGGCTTAAGCCGAAAGTGAATTAAAGAAATACATTCATAACACCTTGGTTTTTAATCATTACTTAAGTTTGTTACAAAATGGTGTCGTTCAATTGGAACTACATACTTAAAGTGATCGTACTTGGATGTCTGGGAAGGAGAGTTGCATAACCTGAGAAATAACATGGGTATGATGCTAGGCAGGAATTCTTTTCATGGGTGCATTCTGAGTTAGTTCCTTTATTGAGATTTCTTTTTTGGAGATTTCTGCTGAAGAAAGCTTAATATGTCCTCCCTAGACGGGTTGAGCCACGTTCTTGGAGGGAAATTGGGACTTGCGCTTGTTCGTAATATTCAAGCTGCCCGGAGTTCGTGAGTAGCCCTCCGCCACTCCAGCAAATGACAATAACACAGGTTTGAGGTATCTCAATACACAAGTCAAGGGGTAGTCATTGTGACCTTTGGATGCATTTCAATGCATCTATTGCATGAAATTCTGCAACTTTCGTTTTAAAAGAAAATGGACAGTCAAAGAATACTGCAAGCCATTAGAACATAACCTATCTCGGCAACGTATCAGAGAGAAAAAGTGGTAATTGTGATTACCTGCAGTAGAAGTTGAAAGAAGCATCTTGAAATATTTCGTAGCAGCTCGCTGATAATGAAATTGGAAGGATGAATGTTCGCCTTAAAATAACACGTACATTGCCAAAAAAATTTGTCTATTTACTTTCGGTTCGACCTCAGTGTTGCCTCAGTTGTCTTTTGAAGGATGACGTCATAAACTCATCGATGAATTGTTATTGTTGAATGGTGATATACGGCAGGAAAGTTTTAAGGTTAGAAAACGTGGTTTCGTCATAGAATAAATCGATCAGGTTTCTATTATTCTCAGTATTCTTCACTTTATCTCTGGATTTGTTCGTAATTTCTGTAGCTACTGTTCCAACCAACTCTCACATTGCTGAATAGTTCAGTTTAACTAACCATGTAGCTGAAGGATTAATTTTCCGTGATTTCTATATAAAAATGCCCGGTCCCAATAAGAGGAAAAGGTTCCACCGTGGGGATACGCACCTACAACGTAAGTGGCGAACTAGAAATCGTACTAAGGATTTAGACGAAGTAAGTGATTAGTGCCCTTTCAATTTGTTCTCTACTTAACAATATCACACAATTTGTGACCACCAAGAAATTCATGCCCTACTTGTCGAGTGTACCACGCTCCCACTCTGGAGAGACGGAATGAACATGTGTGTTTCTTGCGTTCAGACGTGCTCTGATAAATATGTATGATCACAATTGTAACAGACTTAAGATCTTGAACAATGTCATTGATGAAAACATTTTTATTTTTCATCATAGGGATAGTAATGCACCACCTGCTAGAGGTGTCTGTTAAGTTGGCATTTGTTTTCTTTCAATTAGCAAGCGTTTTTACATCATTACTATCCACAAGTAAGCATCCAACTCCCGCAGAAGTAAGAATACAAGCTTGGATAGGTTTTTTAATCCTTCCAAACCTTGTAACATTTTAATTCTTAGCCAGAGAGAAATCACAACCAAATAAAAGTCGCGAATCATAACTGATAAGTAGTTTTCTACGATACGATCATGAGACGGATGCTTTCATGGTGGATACTATCAAACAACACTTGGTGCAGAGACGTAAATTTGTTGCCTGCGCTTACAAATCGAAAGCAATCAAATGTCAACACATCTGATGACACTTATACTATTTTAATTTTGAGGTGGCATTGGAGTTGCACCTTTACCCCTCAGTCCGTCAGTAACATAGTTCAAAAGTGAGAGGAACTACTCCAAAATATAAGTAAAAGATGTTGCCAGGCAAGATTAGGAAGAGATTGAATTAGGTTAACTATGTTAAGGAGACCTAGGTAACGCTTCATGAGGAAAGAGGAAGTAAGCCTTGGTAGCATTACCTAAATGTTGATAAAAGTTCAAAGTACTCTAGTAAGACTCTTAAACGGACCGCAGAAAACAGAAAAAACCAAGCCTCAGCTATTGCCAAACTTAACCGTGCAATTTAAGTTTTTACATCAAAACAGTTATGCAGATTTTTGCACGAATTTCAGTGAATTTTCTACATAAGTAGTACGAAGTAAATTCCAAAACATTTTTAAAGGAATCCGCAAAAACGCCCTCTCATAATGAGATAAATTTTCCAGTTAACTATGGCAATGGCTGATGTGGCGTGGTTCCTCTCTGTTAAATGCGGTCCAAATAAACTTTTTTCAACAAAATTTCCAAATAGATTTTTAGAACAACTTATACCTTAAAATGCTGCTTTTCACTTTTATAATTTTTTGATCACTTCATATTGTTAAATATAAATGAAAATGTTTTGAAAATTTTTAAAATAGGTATTTTTAAGTAATGATGTTTGGCAGGAAAATGATCTTCTTCATAAATGAAATATCTAATGTAAGTTAAGATAGTCAAATTCACTGATCTTCAAATGAGATTTTCCGAAAGTTAGCAGAACAATTTTACAGCTACATTTGAATTATTGTACCATCACAAAGGAGTGCACAATTTATCATTTTTCTCTTTAATTTCAACAGATTGACAGTGACTTGCAGCCGAAAAAGGCGAAAGAATTATTAAATCAAGAAATTGATCCTGATCAGACTGGTTGTGCGCAGCATTACTGCATTCATTGCGGGTAAGTTTTCCTCTTTGAGGAGAGCCATTACTAATTTTGAGAACTTAAAGTAACTGGTGAACATTTTTGTATGTATCAGTTGATGATTAACGGCTAAGAATGATGTAGCATCTCTGAATTTTATACCCTATTAAACTCGGTTTTTCCACTAGCACAGACACATTCAGAAGCATATAAGAAGGCAAAATGTGCGATCATCTGTTAGGGCCTAAATCTAGGTCTTTACCAAAGAAGGCTTGTATGGAACCGAACTGCCTTGGCATCCCAACTTTTTTGAAGTGATTTATTTGTTTACAATTGCACCTTTTTGTGCTTTAAAATATCCATATTCATGACTTAAGAGTGAATACTTACGTATCCTTGTAATTTTTGGGAAAGAACAATGGGTTGTCTTCAAAAGAAAATATTTTGAAATGTTAGAAAAGTAAACAAGGAATTTTTTTTAAAAAAGATGACACTAATTTTATGAAAAAAAAGAAGGTTTCACCTCTCTTTAAGTTTTAATTTTCAATTTTTATTTATAATATGAGCGTTCGATAACGGCAGTATAATCTGAGAGTCTGCCCTGATCAAGCCAATATGTATATACACGGGAGAAAAATGTGTGTGCGGTCCAAAAAGTCACCCAAAAACCAGTGAGCCGATTATTGAAATTGATAGACAAAGAAGACAAAAGGGATATAGAGAGATCCTATTAGTGGAAGCAGATGGTTTCAATGGACAAAGGACGTAGGTAGTAGGCTAACTAACAGCAACCCACGAGAAACCCGACAGTTAGTCCATCATTTTCTCCTTTAGTCCATAGGAACCACACATTTCAACCAATAGGATAGCTCCATACTCCCTATATCCTTTTTGTCTATTGCTTTGTCTATCAATTTCAATAATCAGTCGGCTGGAGAGCAAATTCGTATTTCCTCTCTGAAAACGATGACGTTGAAGGAGAGTGCCTGTTTCCAAAGCAAATACTGCAGTTCCCTGAGGAAGGAATTGGTTTGTCTTTGACTGGAGGCCTTAAATTAGCTGAAAAATAATTGATTAAAGTTCATCAAACGATATGGGAAGCGGCACCCCATAGACATGAAACCTCCCTCCTTCACTGCTTACTCTCGAATTTTTGGTGAGAGGTGACAATTGCTGTTTTCTTTTTAAGTCATTTATCAACACCATTGATTTTTCTGATTTTATATTTTCCATTTTTACTTTTCAGGCGCTATTTCATTGATGATCAGGCTCTAGCCGAACACTGCCGCACAAAGTTCCACAAGAGAAGACTGAAAGAACTTGAAACTGAGCCTTATACCATTGAAGAAAGTGAGCGAGCCGCTGGTGTTGGTAGTTACGTAGCTCCAAAAAAGCGAAAACTAGACTCTGTCGCTGACTTGAAAGATGGCACTGTTTTGATGGACAGCTCTGACACTAAACCTGTCACAGTGTCATAATGAACAAGCTACTCTCTTTTTTTACTCTTCAAAAAAACTGTGCATTCTCCTCGTTGGTGAGGTATGCTAGTAATGCCAGTTCAGCATTATTTGTCACAGGTGACTTAGGTGCAAAAACAACATCTATAATAGCTCCATATATAGATCTGCGGGAAGTTCTCAAAGACCCTGAACGGTTACAGAACAATTTGAAAGCAAGAAATTTATCCTTTGAGGTTGAATCGCTCAAGGACAAATGGTCTCTCTTGTTAGATGCATGTCAAGTTAGAGATAAACTCTCAAATCAGCTTGATTTAATTGTAGAAAAAATAAAAAATGCCCCTGATGAAGATGAAGTGAAGAACTTGAAAATACATAGAAACATTGTTAGAGAGGATCTAAAGTTTGTAGCTCCAATGATAACAGAGTTGGAGAAAATGACTATCCTTGAAGGTCTAAAGTTGCCTAACTACCTTCACGGTGATACTCCGTTCGAGGATGAAGTAGTCAAGGGTGGACATGAGAGCGAGGAAAAATTTGAAAATTCCAATCTTAGTCATATCGAAATCGGTAAGAAGTTAGATCTACTTGAGTTTACAAACCCTGTAAATTATTATCTTTTGAATGAAGCAGCTTTGTTTGAGATAGCTGTAACAGAATACTTTGCCAGTAGTTTGCAGAAATCTCTGGGTTTCATCAATTTTAGCAATGCGGATTTCTGCCAAAGTGTCATCATTGAAGGCGTCGGGCATGAAGCAAAGGAAGTCAATGCTGTTTTTCGATTGGCTGATTATGATAAAAACCCAAATGAAGATGAGAAAACTTTTTTAGTTGGAGGAGCATCTTTAGAGCCTTTTTGTGCGTACCATTGTAAAAATACTGTGCATGCATCAGCACTCCCTCTTAGATACGTCACTCAAGGGCGGAGTTACTCCAATCTTTCTCTATACGATCTAGAAGGCTTGTACAATGTTATTCAGACAAACTGCGTTCACATTTTTGCAGCTACTGCGGATGATGAAGCTGCCATGATGAGCGAGTTTAATCTACTACTAAATAATATTGTTAAACTCTATGAGAAATTCAATTTTAATTTCAGATATTCTTTTGTCCCTGCCTCACAACTGAATGTGTGGGAGTGTTTAAGAGTTAGTTTTCAGATTCTTTCACCGTATCATGGAAGATATATTGAAGTAGGAAACTTAGCAATAAGTGATGATTTTATTAGTAAGCGCCTCAGAATGCACTACCATGAGGTGAAGCGGGATCTTAAGTTCATGAAAATTCTTTCTGGGAGCGTTGTTAAAGTTGCACCTCTTCTCGCTTGTATTTTAGAGCGTAATCAACAGAAGTTCATCATTCCTGAGTGTCTAAGCGATCATGTTCTGTAAAACAGTTTCTGAATTATTAAAATATTTTTACCACCATATTTATTCACTTTATTCCCTACCTATTACCTTAGTCATTGCAATTGAAGAATTTTTTTTTCCTTACATATTTTTTACGTCTATGGAACCTATCTCTTCAGTTCAGTCGGCTATCAGACAAAGGGATGAGTAAAAGAATAAGGCAAAATGTATTTCTTTCAAAATTTCATACGAAAGAAATCTGGAACACACAGTCATGAAATCAATTCGCAAACAAGAATTATATTTTTGACAACAATGTATTGTTTCACAATTAAAATTGGTTAAGTGGCAAAAATACAAATGATGTTACTTGGTCTATGTTGAAAACTAACTTCCATTTGATCCGTGTTAAAAATATTTGTGAATATCTTGTTCAAGAGTTGATTCCTGAATTTCCCCATGTGTTCATTTTCTATCCTGATTGTGAAGAGAAAACATGTGACTTTTTTTGTAGCTCGGACCTTTTTTAGAGTCCCGTATTGGATAGATTTCTGATCGACAGAAACCTATCTCTTCTTACGCTCTTAAACAATTTTTTTTGTTTACATGTTAGGTACATCATTTGATTGCTTCAAATTACCCTCCTTTTCAGTTTGTAATTTCTCAGGAGGTCAAAATCATGTTTCATAAGAAAAGTCAAAGCCAATAACTGCATAAAGTTTCATAAAATTATCATGTCTGCAGACTTTTCTCATGAGCAAAACACATGTCTAAAGGTGAAAAATTAAAGTTCGAACTGCTATCCTGGAACTAAAATTTAAGTCAAAATAATCAACATCTAAATTTTGCCAAAAATCTCCTGCGGCCCAAGTAGACCGATGATGTACGATTATTGGGAAGAGATATTTATGGAAGGATCCTATCTGCCATGCTGAAGGCATAAAATCAGTGTGTGTTGCATCTTCATGCCCTCTACGTGCATGAAAATAAATCAAACTGCTTGCAACTTACTCTTTTGGACACTGGAGGGAATTCCATGCCAATAACTCAATATCTGATTTTTCTTAAAATCAATCCAACAAAAAAAATTTTGCGAGTTGACAGTTTTGCCCTTGTGGACAGGCACAAACAACAAATAGTTAAACTTTCCTATTTTGAACTTTCAGTCGATACTTGTTATTTTTTAAGAGGAGGGTTACTTTTATGTGCAGCTGAAACATCGCTAATACCCTGAGACTAAGCAAAGATATCAGTCATAGCTCTAACTTTTTACTCTGAAAATCTAGTACACGATCATATTTCATCCTCCTATTACAGTATTCACAACGAGGACAAATATTTTACGAGAAATACTACGCGTCGGTGTCGGTTCAAGTGTAGTGGACTGACGCTCTTTCTCATTCGCGCCAAATATTTGAATGATACGAACATCTGAAAAAGCCTCTGATTGGTCATTGCCCCATTTTTGGCGCCGCTCTCCCTCTGAAAGCCCGCGCTTTTTCATCTCAGTCGTTTATGGTCCAACATGTGATTGAGGTTAGAATATTAGAAATGCTGTTTTGATTAATTTATGGTATCTATTATTAATTATTCAGTGATTACTGTGATTTTGCAATTAAATTTTACGATTCCAAAGTTTCCATTAAGAAGAAAATGTTCAATAGTTAGCTCAGTTTTCCGGGACGTTCAAGTTTATCCAGTTTCTCTTGAGCTGGATGTGTTTTAGGTTTCATCCTGTGTTCATGCGAAGACATCTGAGATTATGTACAGTAAACCTTACTATCTGATGAGCCAGTAGAGCCTTTTTGATGTTTGTCAAACAAAGTAAGTTATTAGCCTCCAGATATTGTTCTCCCTTTGCACGCACAAGTCCCCCAAATGCAGCATTCCAAGTCCAAGGGAGATGTAGAAACTCACTACATTCTATGCAAGTAAACATTGAATGTAATATTTGTTACAGTCAAGGCTCATGCACTGCTAATACACTGCCATCAGCCATCATTTCTGTCTCATCAGTAGTGAATCTAATTAATGTTGAATATATCAAAGTGGACGCTGCATTAGAGGAGTATTCCCAGTCGTCATACCCAGTGATTGCGAAAGTCTCATGATTCTCCATCTCTCAGTAAGAATGGCGCAGCTCAGCTCTACTGAGTATTTTAAATTTCTGAAGAAATCTTCTTAAATTGTGCATGAGGTGCTGGAACTATTACCCTTTAGGTTGATTATTGAACTTCTACTCTTAGTAAGTAAGAGACCAGACTCATGTGGTTATCACTACCTCATTTTAATGAGATAAGTGTACTCAGAAGAGGTAATTATAACGAAAATGTGGTATCGAAATTTTCAGTCTGTCGTTTCATGTTTCCTATCTTCTCAGCTTTAGGTATCAAAAATTACTGTACTATTGTTGGGATCAAGTTACAATTCCTACAGTGGTCGTGAACATAGAGTACATATAGTCGTAATGTAAGTGAGAAAGCTGGTGCCACGTCTAAGCATTTTCTAGGTCCCGAATTCCGTGATTCCTGTGTCACGCCAGGTCACTTTTTTTGATACATAATCAATTGTTTTCAATACTCGGGGATCTGCCCATCCAATATTAACAAAGAAGATTGGAATTACTCGTATTCCACACCACTGTTTTGGATTGAACATGTATAAAAAAAGTGACCTAAGCTCGGCGCACACCGGGCTTGACCAGAATATGGCGCCAGCTCTCCCATTTACATAACGACTCTATGTAGTCTATGGTCGTAAATTGCCAATTTTCGCCATTTTAGGTGCTACAATTATCTATAAGGATCATAGTGGCGGATTGGACAAATGTTGTTTGAGATTCTGAATTTCAAAGCCATATTATTCTTATACAGAAACTTACTGCTACTCTTATCCATAAATACTACATAGGAAATGATTATATGTATCGATAATTCACCGACTCTCAATGGTAGGGGTCATTTCACGCAGTTTACTAGAGAGAAGAAGATCAGACACACAATCATCAGCACAAAGAAAAAAAACCCTGTTGTTGTAATCGCTATAGACATAAGTAAAGCATTTGATTCGGTAAATCATGATATCCTAATGTTCAAACTAAAAAAGATGGGATTTGGAAAAGAAGCTCTTAAATGGATAAAAAGCTTTATGTCACAAAGAAAACAATATGTCCATATGAGGAAAAGCAATAAGAAATATAACTCAATAAGTAGAATGATCTATGGAGGCATCGCGCAAGGATCAATGATAGGGCCACTACTATTTATTCTGTTTATTAATGATTTAGCTATATTTTTAAAAGTAAAAGTTAAATCTCTCTTAAAATCGTTTTTTGACCTTCTATTGTTCGCTGATGACATCCTCATAATTCTAAGCAATATCATACTGGAAAATCTGGAAATTGATACATTTACTGTCATGAGTTATTTTAGCCAATGGTGTAAGATCAACCTTTTTAATGTAAACACGAGTAAATCGAAATTTTTGCTCTTTAATGTAAATAATGAACTGATCAAGGACTTCCAAGTGCTACTAGATGATGAGCAAATGGAAAGAGTAGCCGCTGCAAAATATTTAGGTATTTTGTTAGATGATACTCTTAAATTCAATGACCATGTTGACATCATGTGTAAAAAGCTGCATGGCGCTATTTTTGTGTTGAGAGTCCTATCAAGATTTTGCGACATGAATCTGTTAATGGTAGTGTATCATTCTCTTTTCCTATCTCACATACTATATTGTATCAATGCCTGGTCAACTTGCAATAATAAAAAGATCGAGAAATTATTCATAACTCAAAAAAAAGCTATTAGAACTATGCTTAAATTAAAGCCTACAGAATCTTGCAAGGAACATTTTAAAAAATTACAAATCTTAACTGTTCCAGCATTGATCATATACTCATCTTTGAAATTATACAACAACAAGAAACTACAGGAATCGAGAGTGGTGCACAACCACAACACCAGAAACAGAACAGAAAGTCTAATCATAAAAATTAATAAAACAGCGGCTCGAGGCCATAACTTTTTCTCTAAACTACCATCAAACATAAGGAAAAAAATTAAAGATGAGCCCCGAAGCCACAATGCCCTGGTTAGACATTATCTAATTGAAGAATGTCCCTATTCAATCAACGATTTTTTAAAGGGGACAGGTTGATATCATTGTCTTTTTTTTTTTTTTTTTTTTTTTTTTTTTTTTTTTTTTTTTTTTATATATACATATATTTATTCTTGTTTCTTGTTTAGAAAAATTCGACGCATTTGTAGAAGCCATGTGCAAGCCAAAAAAACAAATAAAGATATATATTATTATTATTATTATTATACTCCTTGTCGTGGCATTAAAATTGGTTCTAAGTAAGCCTCGATTATTTATAGTTCTCACATTTTTACGAAGGTCTAGCAAAGTCCGAAATTTTTCTAGGAGCTTTAGCCATGCGTGATCAACGATGCAGGAGGTCTAAAATTCCAAATTTTAGCATGATAAAATTTATGAACGTATCTTATAATCCATGCTCCAGTGGATTGGTTTGAGCAATTTTGATATTACTCGCTGCTAACTATCTGTTGCTAAAATAATTTTAATTTGAAGAGCTCCTCAAGATTGCTTCAATATGGAACTGACCACTCCAAACCTAACTTGATCTGTATCTACAGTAAAAATTGTTCGCCTTGGTGCTGCCCTACCCTTCTAATTATCAGCTGTTGCTCTATAACCATCTTCAATTAAATATGTTTGTTTTTGTTTTTTTTCAGAACCTAAGAACTTTTACTAAGCCATGAGCATCCTTTAAAGCTGCAGAACTGTTATTTGTGACCATGGATGAAGTCACTAAAGAAGATATCAAGTACCAGTTTCTTAATGTCTTCGAAGATTTACTATCGGACTTGAAGAATGCGAAAAGTAAATTATTTGTTTTTTGTATCTTGTCCTATGCAACAATTTTCCTAATTCCAATTGAAAGTGGCTTTATCAAAGAAAATTGGCAAATTTCTTGTTGAAAAATCAGGAAACTCCACACATTTTTTTAAAATGCCTATACCATTTATAGGGTTTCAACAAGTTCCAAAATGCTGACTTGTTTCTCACAATCCAGTTTTTCTCCCACGTATAAAATTGTATATTGCTTCTTTTTTCACATTCACCTACCCGCTAAATTTCAGGACATCTCTCTTGATGCTATGACTTTGCCTCATGTTTTCTGTGACGTGCAGATTGCAAAATCAGGTATATTTTTGCATCCTTGAAAATTTAGGGAAACAAAAAAATTCTATAATAGTTTGCCTCAAATTATTTTTCAAAATTGTAACCACTAGAAATCCAATTGTATGTAAATATTTTTCCTTAAAAATCAAGGAAGTATTAGGATTTTGTAGTATGTGAAAGTACTAATCACTAGTGTTCGGCCTTTTCCCTGAAGTTTTACAAGCTACTTCAGCCGGAAAGCCCAAATTTTAGGAGCCAAATTAACATTTTGCGTATCCATCATGCTTGTAAAATTTGGAGCTAAGCTACAAATGGTATGTTCAGAGTGGTATCGCTACTTTGCAGTTGTAACTTTGACAAAATCGACAATATGCGCTAACTTTTTTAGGCGCCACGATGGCTTAGCCCCCCTCAATTTTTTGGTGCCGAAGCCTGATTTTTAGGTGCATTGCGCCCAGGGAAGGCTGAACACTACTGTTCACCCGTGCCTTAAGTCCACATAGAAGAAAATAAGGAAACAATTTATTAGAATCTAAGGACCTGATACATTTAAACTGAACTGATGGCATGTTATGGAAATGGTCTAAGTAATGGGCAGTGAATAATTCCTACCACTCATCCTTCTTTTTTCAGAAACCGAAATTTAATTAAGTCTCTTTTCTTTCGTTCTTTCATCACTGGGCTTAGATAATACACAGGGTTGCCACAGTCAGGGAACAATTGGGAAACCAGGAAATTTCAAGGAATTTGAAAGAGGCAGGGAATACCTTAAAATGTCAAGGAAAATGACGAAAATATCAGTGAAAAAGTTACCTTTATTTGCTTTCTAGAATAGGTTTGACATTTCGAAGAACTAAGTTTGCCTAAAAACTATTTCAAATCATGTATTTTCAACAATTTAGCATATCTTTGTTTGTCTGGAAATTTTACCAATTGAAATGTGTGCCGGTAATCAGGGAAATTCATTTTCTAATTCTTATGGCAACCTTGTGCTTGAGGTGTGAGTGAGACGTATGGTCTGTCTGATAGGTAGCTCACTTTACCGCGTTCATAATATGCCAGCACTTGGCTTAAGTGTGCAAGGTCCTTTCATCGTTGTCTCAATTCCGAGAGTCTGACAGAGAATTATTTTTTGATGTTTGGCATTTTTCAGATGTCAGACCCGAAACTGAAAATGATAACGACGACGATGTAATAACTCTTGCTCCTGAGATAAAGAAACCTGCCCCGGCCCCGGTTTACAAAACAAGAGGTCGCCCCAGAAAGAACGATTCCGTTGACTCCTTCCTTGAATTGAAAGCAACCAGGGCCAAGAGAAAGCAGCCCTCAGGCCGTCAGACTGACATAAGAGCAAGTTTCAACTCTAGTTTCAACTCCGTTAACAATGAGGGGCCCATCCACGTTGTTGCAGATGTTCATCGAGACTCGTCACAACCGATCGAAGCTTCAGCTCATTTCAAGAAGAAATCAGCTACGAGTGATGAAATATTCGATAGTTTGTTGGACAAAAAATCAAAAGAAACAGAAATCAGTTGCAGTCAGGAATCAGATGACTATTTCCAAGTCTCTAAAAAACCACGCAAGTCTTATCCAGGTGCAAAATCAAGTACTGCGATGAGTACTAAGAGAACGAGCCGAGGAAGTGTTCGTAAAAGTACAGAAAGTGTCCATCTTGACTCAGAGTTAGATTTTAAAGAATTCAAAGGGCAGTTGAAGAAGAACCTTGGCTCGCTGACAAGTAAATTCTCTAAAAGTCCCAACAGTAAAGAAGACTCCCCCGAAACAGATAAACTGAGATCATCACCCGGCTGGTCTCGAGTAAAAGCAGTTGCAAAAGACTTCAAAGGATCTAGTTACAAAAAGCCTTTAAATATTAGTATTAACAAGCCAAGACTGAGTTCCTCAAAATCTTCCAGTTTCGTTGCAGGTGCTTCAAAAGCAGCCAACTCCTCTTTGAATCAATCTACCTCAGACTCTGATCTGTCAGACTTGCGCTATTTTGACAGCCCAGAAGCCGCAAAACGTTACAAATTGATGAAACACGTAGTTGATTTAACTGAGAAAAAAGACCAAAATAATGATTCAGGCGTTGAAATCGATCCATCAATGAAAGAATTGGCTGAAAATTTAGCCAAAAACAGAGACGCATATGTGCAGAACCTGATCAGCTGTGTGAATAATAAAATGTCCAGAAGAAGTGCTACCAAAAGTACTGATTGTACGAAGAAAGCATCCCCTGTTAAAGATAGTGAGAAAATAATAAATGAAGATGATAAGACACCCTCCAAACCCAAAGTACAAAACAACGAAGCTCAAAAATCCAAGTCACCTGAAAATATCATCGATGCATCTGACCCGATGGAATTTGATAATCAAGAAACGCAATTTGATTTCCAACCAACGACTGAGAAAATTTATGATGGTGCTGAAAATAATATAGCTAAGTCACCCTTGAGCACAAAAAAGCATATAGAATCACCCCTCAGAAGAAATCAAAGTAAGGAAAATGGGTCACCAATAAACTCTGAAAAACCTCTGGTTTCCTCACAAGAAGAAATATTTAGTGACGATTCAAAGTCTCCGTCAAGTCCTGGAAAACTCTTTGATCCATCTCAGAATGAAGGTAAAAAGAAAGAAGTTCAATCGCCCTCAAGCCCAGAGAAGGCAGTGCAACCGGAGGACAAACGCAGGCCAAGAACGCCACTCAAGTCTGGAGCATTTAAATATCGTTCACCATCAAAACCATGCTCAGAAAATTCTGTAGTGTGCATCGGAGAGTTTGAGTGTACGTCCCAGTCTGCGGAAGATGTTGCCAGCAATGAAAAACGGAATCCTACTAGGGAACTACGTGATGTGTCTAAAAAAGATGATGTGTTAGAACTTTCAAATTGTGATGTTTCAGAAGCGCGTATTCCCAGGGATGAACAAAGGAAATCAAATGAACTCGCTCGCAAGAAATTGAACACAAAGTCTCAGGATCTTGATGACCTTCTGACACAAATTCTTCCTCAAAGCTCTGGGAGCTCAGCATCCAATGAGGTCCACTATGAAGCAACAATACCCTTGGTATCAAGTCAGAATCTTTGTTCTAGGTAAATAAGCCTTTTTAATGTATCCATATTAAATTATTCTAGAGAAAAAAATGAAACTGAAAAAAAAGTAACAAAAAATTGTTATGTCATCATGCATATCTATAACTAATAGCGACAGTAGGGATAGGAACCTCAGTGAAAACTTAAAATCAAGGTATTGATACCTAATTATACAGGAGTGTTCCACCAACATTTTGTGCTGTAAATAGCCAAAAAATATCAAACCAAATCATCATAAAAAGGATCCGCAACAAATAGTTTTAGAAGAACCCCACACTAAATATTTTTGTTTAGATATGCCAATGTTCAACAATTCCTGAGACCAGTGACAATTTTTACTTCTGATCCGAGTACCATCTTTAAGATATTGACTGTAGACAGAGCAGTTTTAAACCTATTGATTACGTTTTAGTCAGGGTGAATCACGTAACAACGCCCATCAACAGCTTGTCAATGAGCGGATCATTCTTTTATCTGGCTGTGTTCTTTTTTGTTCTGTTCATAAACAAAAGATTCTCGATTGGCCATTTGCTGTTGCTGCATTAATGCTGACTTACGTGTAATCAAGTGATACAAAACTGTATTTTCCATAGTCAAAACCTTGGAAACAGCATCATGGATCGGAAGAAAAAATTGCCATGGGTCTCAAACATTTTTGAACATCAATATACCCAACATTTTAAGTGTGAAAAATTATCAATGCCTTAAGTTTGGTATGCTTTGCTCAGTTGTCTCCTTGTCTCACTCACGAATTTTTTGTACAAAATACACAGCAGCAGTATTAGTTGGTTTAGCTCCCTTTGAAAAAGAAGAAGGAAATAACTTTTGAATTCTGAAATTTTGCAATCACAATTCATGTTTTTGAATTATCACCATAGATTTGCACTGATCCAAAAAGAATCAAGAGGTGAAGGAAAATCTAAATTTGCGGTGTTCTAACTTAATTCTTTTTCTCTGTTTCAGGTGTAAATGCACCGTTACAAACTTAGCCGGAAAGGAAGACAACAGTGTGAACAGCAATCCTAAACTTTTTGATTCAGAAAATCAAGAAAATTCTCCCACCGAACCCAAAAAAATCCTAAAAGACGCCTGTGTTCAAACTGAGGATGTTACAATAGTACATTCACGAACTACAAAAGAAAGCGGTGTTCAAACAGTGCCCTTGTCGCAGTCATTAGAAACTGTGCCTTGCAAAGACATGACTGAAGAAAAATTAATGCGGCTAAAAGATGAATATATCTTACAAACCATGAAATCGTTAATGATCCAAGCTAGTCATAAGCTCACTCTCAATGATCTGTATAATTTAGGCTTGGAACAGGAAAACGAAAGGCCGAGAAAAAAACTCAGAGAAATCACGCAGAATTCATCAAGGCTTGAGGAAGATGCGAACAGATTAGAATCTCTCCTTCTTCAGCCGAGGTCTTTTTCGGCAAATCGAATCACCAATGATAACAGCATGCACCCTCCAACGGATCAGAGAACGCCACAGAATCAGGTGATAAAGAGAAAAACAGCGTCAGACATGAAATACACAGCTGTGTCAACCCCATCATCCAGTGAGCGAAAATTATTGGACGACTCAAAGTTTATAAACCGATCCACGGTCTGCCCGAAGGATGTGACAATTTGTGAAACAGAAGAAGCTCATCCAGCCGACGATTCAATGATGAAAGATGTTGTGCCCATGGAAGTTGAAGAGGACTTGCCGACAATTGTAAAATCTGCAGAAACAAGAGAAAATATGCCTCCGAAACCAGAAGAAATTGACACCAGCCGATTAGATATTGTTAGAATTAGAGACAAAATGAATTCGTCTTGTTCAAATGACTCTCTGGTTCTGAGTTCAAGAAAGGCTGCTCACCGTTCCTTGAATTTCCAAAGCTTTTTTGCTAGAGCGAGTGATAGCACACCCTCTAGCCCTCCAAAAGCTGTAAATAGTGATGGAAAGACAGAGTCATATTTCTCCAGTGAGTGCAATGGAATAAGAACAGAAGATGAGGGTGACTCGAAAAAGCGATCTCCTATGGATCTTAAATCAGACAATAGTAACTCAATCCTTCATGACCAACAAGTTAATACGCAGTTCCCTGAAGATACCATGAAGCACTCGTCTAATTTCTCAAATCCAATGGTAAGTGATTTGACAACATATTTGAAATTTTCTCTTTTTTTAACGTTATCCTAAAGTACATAACAAATAAAAATTATAAAAGGCACCCTGATAGGTTTACACTTTAGAGCGATTGGTAAAGATCCTCAAACGTCATAAATCTTGGGTGTAAAAAAAGAGAAAGTAATTACAGTACATTGTCTCCTAAAATGACAAATGATACAAAATGTATTTTTGGAGTCAATTCTAAAGTAAATGAAATGTAAAAACACTGGACATTATTTAGCAAGCCGAGAGTAAATTCACTTGATGACATTATATCATTTAACCAATATTTTTCACTTTTTTATGCCATTTTTAGATTTTTCAGCGCTGCTTCACTTTCTTGACATGTTCTATTAAGAGGAAACCGGTGGCATCCTGTCGATGGACCTGATTTCTTTGCCCCCAACAAACTCTCTTCAACAAATATTCTCGAAAATAAACCAGTGCTTTACCAAATCATTTAAAAATGGCATCAAAAAAGTAAAAAAATATTTAATTGGTCCTGTAGTGAAGTATTCGAAAAATTTAATAGAAAAAAATGCACTTGTACTCTTTTCAAGTTCAGAACGACCACTCGTTATTTTTTGAAAAATTTGCCTTGTCTTTTCATGCTAATTTGTATCCTATTGCTCTCTACGCTTATCATTTTGTGGCGTAAATGAGCCTATTGCATTATTTTTTTTTTATTACCTGTTGGCTAAGGCACCTATTGTCACAGGAATTTTTCGGGAGTTCTCTAAGCACATTCAGTAATTCCAAAAAAGTCAACTTGGTAATGCCCCAAAATTCAGATTTTAGACTTGGACATGAAGTATCAGCTAATCAATATCCTCGCCACTTGAATAATTCATTCTCCCTCTATTTCAGGACACTCAGAAACCAGATGAAGGCAACGAAACCGGTATCGTAGAGAACTCTGATGATGAATCAATCATCCAAGCAACTCCTAAGAAATTTGGCGCTGAGTAAGTTCTCTTCATAACTTTTTTTTTTCTTTTTCCGTACAGCACGTACTGATGTTTTGTAATTTCAATAAATTTTAAGTAAAAATGAATGTAAAATAAGAGAAATCAGCATGTCGATTGATAATATTTTGCCAACCAGCAAAATTACCCTTTTGCGTCAGGTTGATACCAGTAGGAATGAACTTCTTCCATGTAAGGACCTCTTCTAGCTATGGGTTGATAAATGATGCGCTGGTGAGGGAGGGAGGGTGCTTACTTTAGGTGCTGCTCCTCTTTCCTTTATTTCTATTTTCCATTCTCTCTGAAAATTGTTATAATCATTGCCAAAATCGGGATTGCAGGTCAATTCCTCATTTTAGTGTTATAAGTCACTTCAATGTAGCAAATTTAAGACACAATAGGTATGAAAATAATTGAATTAACCTCCATGAGGGCCAACCATTTATGTATATCCTGCAAAGCGTTAGGTTTTGTACACACGAGCGCGATTTGAGGAATTTCAGGCGAACATGTTCTAGGAACTTATCATAAATCAGCTATAACTTACTTTGCACAACCTCAGTTCGTGGAACTAATCTGTTCAATTTGTGTTTATGTGGACAAGACCTCACCAAACTGGTTTTTTCTTTGGTTTTATTATCTAATAGCGTTTTATTTTTGTACAGGTCGTCTCTAACACCTGACATGCTGTCATCACAAAACTCACAAGTAACAAAGCAAAATGATGGTGATTTGCATCCAGCCTTTGAAGCTGAAAATTCTGATTCTCATAGACCCGCTGAAACTAACGCAGCTGCAAGGAATTGCCCTCCTGACTCGGATAATAGCGTTACTAAACATACAAATTCCATTGACTCACAAGTCAATGAAATACCCTCGTCTATTCTCCCAACTGCTGAGGATTGTTATCCAAAGCAGACAGAAAGGAGAAACAGCTTCTTCAATCCTCAGCTGCCACACCAAGTTCAGAATGTTGAGAGACTGTCTCGCGAGTTCATAATGAATCATAACCCTCAGCCTGTCCACCCGCCCGTCCACAATTACGACGAAGGCAAGAGCCATACATCGGAGTTGGCCCTCTCCCAAGACCTGGTTGAGCAGCGAAGACTCTTCATAACAACCTCTGGACTTCAAAAATCAGCTTTGATGGGCGTACAAGAATTTTGCAAGAGATTCAATTGCGTCTACGAAAGCGAGATCACAGAAAGAACCACACATCTAGTCGTTCGAACCAACCAAAATAGAGCCCTGAGCACAATGAAATTTATTTTAGCCGTTGCCATGCACAAGCTGGTCGTTACTTTGGATTGGATGTCATCGTGCATGAAAGCAGGAGAGCTAATTCCAGAGGTGAGCGTTTAGTCCTTAGAAAATGGTTTTGGGAAATTCCTGCTTAAAATTTTCAACGTTTCTCCCTTCAGTATTTCCAAAAATTGTAATTAATATTTAAATTTGCGAATATCAATGGATCTCTAAACAGGGTGAAAAAATTAAACACTATAGTACTTACATCAAAATTTCACAAAGAACACAGTAGACACAAAATTTTCAAGTCAAACTCGTAACTGAGAAATTGACGTTTTCTGTGTTGGTCGATTCAAACTTCTCACTGGCAAAAAATCTTAAGTTGACTTTTAAATTGGCCACCCATTAATTTCTATGTTCTTTATTATGAAATGGCGTTATCAGTGTGCTGAATTATTTTTACAAATCTGCAAATTATGTGCATTAGATTACACAATACAAAGAAACATTTTTCCAGGATGCAATTTCAGTTATTTGCTGAATGACATGTTTGTTTTTGATTGCGGACTTGACTCTCACAGATTTTGATATTTCTGTGAGTACTCTGCTGATGAGCATACAAATGCACACTAATTTCTCATTTACGTGTTGATTTTGAACCTTCCTGACGTCTGAACGTTTTGCAAGTGAAATTCTGATGAGTTAATATGCCTCAACTTAGTTCTTATTGTGTCTAATGCGGCATGCTCACAAATACCTAAAGTTCTGTCAGTATGAAAGCTTAGTTTTGTGGAAAATCTTCCCTCTTTCATCCACAGGATTACAATTTTTCATGAAAAATGAAGATCTGAAATTTCATTTGAAATATTTCATGAAATTCCCGAAAGATATGAAAGATATTGAACTATACTTTTTGAAATTAATTGCAAAATTGAATGAAAAACAAATTTTTTTGCTTTTTGGTGTTTTTAATCAATGTTGCATGCCAAGCTCCTGAAAATATGTTTTACACTATTCATATTTTCACAGCTTCATGAAATTTCATGAAATATTCAACGAAAATTTTCAGTCTTTCCTATTTTTCATCTCACTCATGCAACTCTGGTTTTTTACTAAAAACACAAGACGTTTTGAAGGAAATTTTTGAAATTCCTTTACTATCGATACCAACTTACACTACGGCTGTTTGCTTCTTTCTAAACTTACATTATTCACCTGTTTCAATTATGTTCATGTTTATGTTTATGTTTTGTTATTTATGTTTCAGTCTCCTTTTATTCCATTAAGCAGCTCGGGTCGAGCAGGACCACTCAATTCCCTGTTGGACAAAACGAATGCTGTGTCCTCTCCCCTTTTTAGGCAGTTTATCGTGCACATAGTGGGACCGTTTGTCATGTTCAAAAAAGAAAATTTGATGGTAAGTATTGATTCCCTTATTTGGAGCCACTTATGTACGTATAAAAATCAGATGTCAAGTTTTTATGTTTTAAGAAAATTGCGCCCAAAGTTTTCAAAGCTGTGCCTTTCAATGTCCCTAAAGCAAAGTAAAGTTGGTCAAGGAGTGTATCGTAGAGCACATTATCCTCTGAAAAATGAGTTCTAGAACTTTTAATTGTAAGAATACGTCAATTGAGTAGTGTTTTTTTATAGAAAAAGACAAAAAAAAAAAAAAAAGCCATGCTTACGTAGTACTTTTCTTAAGCGTAAATCAAGATGTCTACAGGTCATATGTATGTAATCATATAAATTCATATTATTGCCATAATTTCATTTTGGTCCTAATTGTATAAAATTGCCATTTTTGTTTCATCAATTGATTCTTCGGTCATAATTCTCAGTTTAAAAAAACAAAATTGGCAACTTCTATTTAAAGGAGAAAAAACGAATTATATTACTAGTCTTCTAAAATAAGAAAGGTAATTAAAAAAGGTGATCATTCTAACTGTAGACCTTAAGATTGAGCAGCAGGGCGTCATGTGCTTATGTATTCTACACAATCCCTAGGAAGATTAAAGAGGTACAGCGAATTATTTGGAAAAACAGCACATTCTGACATCTGCTGTTTTTATTTATGATGCGTCAACTTAATTGAAAATTATGCTAGAAGTTCGCAACTTGATATAAATACTCTTGAAGGTTTGCTGATCCTTAAAAAGCTTTATCTCTGAAGATAACGGTTTTCGACATCCGCTGTTTTAAAGATATAGCTTGGTTCGGCTTTCAATTTTTGTTTCATTCTTTTTTCAATCATTTCTTTATTTTCCTATAACTCTCTCACTTATTACAAATCACAGTGATCTTAGTAGACTCTTTTCTTATTCCAGAACTTACCCTTATAGATTGCGCTTTTCAAGTCCATTTTATTTGGTGAAGCTAACTTTGGAATAATTATATGTTATGCCCTTCATTTTTTTTTTTTTTTTTTTTTTTTTTTTTTTTTTTATCTTTAATTTTTCATCTCTAAGGCGTCTTGTTTATCATTAGTCAAAATTTGATTGAATCATTTATCAAAAATCGCCTGGTCCTAAGTGCGACCCACTGGTCATGCAGCCGAAAAGTTTCAACTTTGCTTTAGCCTCGTAGCGCATTCGTACAGTTCTCATTTCTTATGCCTCTTCAAAACCTATTGAGCTCACTGCATGTTTTTAATTTTTGATTGTGTGTACCCTACGGGTGGTATAAAAAAGAGCTCACTACATGTGTTCATTTTGTATTTTCTTGTTTGAATTTTAATTTAATCCTTTCCTCTTTTTCAGGATCTGCTTCTGTTTAGCGGGGCAAAAATTGCGGAAAGCTACCCTGATTTAGCTGCTGATCGAAGCCGAATCAGATTAGTGCTCATCAATAGCAAAAGTGCTGAAGAAAAGTGCTCTTTTTATTGCGGTATGTTTTTCTCTCATTCTCATTATCACAAAAAGGGGAACTTTGAATATAAAAGAACCAAAAAAATTCTAATCAGAGAAGTTCTATCATGTATTTCTATCTTACAGAATTTTAAGGGGTAGCACCAAAAAATTCAAGGGTTGATTGGTGTCATAATAAAATTTTTCTGTTCCTTGATCATGGTGGCGTGCGGAAAATCTTGTTTTTCATTTATTATTACCTGGCTGCCCTTTGAATCCCCAGGTGCAACGAAACAGATAGGGCACACCACTTGTCCTGTATCCTATGTCCTGTCTATGTCTAGTGGCTCATTGGTGATGCCAGTCCCATACTTGGTGGGTAGATAAATAATTTAATATCACAGTATTTTTGTCGTAGTGTTTGTTTTCTTTGAACTAAGTAACTGAAGTAACTACAAGTTTTACGGATGGTCAAACTACCCTAAAAAACATTTTCATGATACTATGTATTTTCTCTTTTTCAGATGTCATGCAAAGGTACAAAGCCTTTGTCCTCTTGCACGACTGGGCGATCGAATCTGTTTCAAACTATAAAGTTGAACCGTTCAGCAATCACAATCCCTTACCGGTAGTCTACAGTTTCGAAATGATCAATAATTTCCTTATTCCTGGTTACATTAAGGACCAGGCTTTGCGCTACTTTGAAAGTCATGACGACAGCTTTGATGAAACTTCGGAATTGTCTAGTCAAGCTTAGGGCAATGCAAATTCAGCAAGTATCAACTTTCTTCATCATGTAGAAAATGTTGTTAAATATGTAATTCCAGCAAAAAAAACTTTTTTTGTATTCATTGAAATTATTGATTTGTAAGTGAGAAAATGTTCCACTCTAATTTTTTTATCATTTAATCATTCAAATGAAAAAAGAACAAAAATTTCAAGTATGGTACAGTGTCTACAGAGGATACTTAAATTATTTTCTCGGTGTTGTTTCCCATGCGAAATGTTATTTTTTAGTTTTAAGATGTTTGGAAAATCAAAGCTTTCAAAATCTATTTTTCTAAAAGTGTAATATTTGCCAAAGGGTCTGCCGCACACTGGAGACGTAGCTAATTATGTTTATATTTCACAAGTAATATCGCACAAAAATCACACTGAGGACATCATAAATATCTAAAATACTCTTCAGAATGCACCATCCGCCAGTCCATTTTTCACAATTTAAAATTTACCGCGTCTGCAAGTACATTTTCTTAGTTCCAGGCAATGAGGCAACCAAGTGAAATGAACAATCCTGTAAGTTGTCAAATCTTCCTAACATAGACTTGAAAATTTTTCGAGCATTTGTTTTTTTTTCTTTTTCCTCTAAATGAAGAAAAAACATTTGCTTTTAAACAGTTTATATTATTTGTGAGGAATATTGATAATAGTTTGCTCAAGATTTCATTTACGTCAAGCTTTCCTCAGACAAACTTGTTTGAAACCTGGGCGATGTAGAAAATACTGCTTGCAAATGTGGTGAATTTGAAATTACATAATATGGACCACTTACGTGACTTGTCCATATTGGAGTATATTTCATGTATTTCTGATCTGCCCAACGTGATTTTTAAGCAATTTTACCTCATTAAGTCTACTCAGTTGGCTGTATCCCCTCTGTGCAACAGACCCATCGATGGCACTGCTGGATGTTGAGGTTTCTGCTCAGGAAAAATTACTTCTAAGGTAGATTATTGAATTCTCAGAATCGCTCTGTCTGAACAGGTAAAACTTGTGGGGTTTTTTCCTTCTTTTGTATTCTAAAGTTTTGAAAGTCAATTAATATAATTTCGACTAATGAGTCGAGTAAAATTGCACACAAATAGTGCAAAGAACATAAAAATGTCTAAAATACTCTCCAAAACTCACTATCTGTTTAGTCCATATTCCAAAATTTAAAATTTACTGTGTCCTAAATTAAACTAACTGATTTATGCCTGTCCAGAAGCATTTAAAAAACAGATGTTCGTCTAATGCTTGTCTGTTGACAATTCAACAGAGCCCATTAATAAATAAGGATGTATGTAGTTGTTTTTTTCCATTCTTATTCGGATGCAATTACGCCAAAAGCAGGGTTGCTTCTGTCAGAGACCACTGGGAAATGTCAGGGAATTTTAAAAACTTATAGAAAACCTGGCAATTTTAGGGAAAATAATGAAAGTGTCTGGGAAAAATTGTCAAGTCACTTTTATTTGCTTTCTAGAATGGGTTTGACGTTTTGAACAACAAACTTTGTCAAATTATGTATAATAATCACCAAGCATTTTTTAAATTATGTATTTTTTGTAATTATTGTCTTTTATACATATCCTCAATAATTGTCAAGGAATTTTACCTAATTGTGTAAGGGAATTCTGTCTTTTTATGCATATCTTCAACTGTCAGGGAATTTTACCAAAATATATCAAGGAATCTTCATTTTATAAATTCTATGGCAACTCAAGAGAAGTGATCTTCCCATACCACCCACTCCTTTACCTCCAAAATGTATTGAGACTTAAATAATTTTTTGCACATTATGAAGTAAAAAAGGGGTAAAAACTTCTTCGCAAAAAGAAATGCATATGAAGTAGTGCTCTGTATTTTTAAAAAAATGAACAGATTTTTTCAACCCTATTGGGCACGTCATTTAATGCAGAAAATTTGTCTGCAACTCAGTTAGGAATCGCTGATTTTTAAAACTAACACCTTTCATCCAGCAGTGTTCTAATTGTTATTCTGATTAATGTGTAGAAATCATAACTCAGTTGTAAGTTTAACTTTGTATCATGCCATTTTTCCTGTTTCATTATTATTGTAAAAAAAAGTTGTATGTATAGCTTTTCTAAATTATTGTGTCATGTAATGGTTAAGTCCATGACCTCTTTTGAAAAATCTTTGAAACTCTATCAAAATTCAAAAATTTGTTAATATCTGCATTCTTTTCTATGTAATTTATTTTTCTCCACCTCTGTGGTGCCTTAAATTTCTGCGATAATCTCTTTTATAAAGATCTAAAATTTTGTACCAGTTATCATTACTATTATATAAATATTTTTTTTTTTCATGCCTTTAAAGTAAACATCTTACTTTTGACTTGAAAGTTGAGTTCGCATATGTCTTTCATCATTCCTTAACAATCTGTTCAATGCAAATGTCATTCGGAAAACCAACAAGGTTTCTAAATTTTAAGTCTCATTGAAGTTTTAAGTCATCAGGATCAATAATTTTAATTTACTCATTTTTTTCAACCACAGAAATGCATATCTCGGTTTGCGGTATTGCAGACTTACTGTCATACTTTACTCTGAAAACTACCAAACACCATTCCATGAAAACTTAGGTGATTTTGCTTCTCTGTGTGAAGAATAATTTGTGAAATATCAAGCCATGATTTTTGTTCGGTTTCCCTTTTAAAACAAACGTAAAATAGGTCGTAGATTTTGAGACATCTCAACTGAGATACGCATTTTTGCAGTTTTGCTGTCGATGTATGAGTATGAATCCTTAACAAGCAGTACTGAATTTTTTTGGAGAAGCGAAGTATACTTTAATTTTTCATCCATCTTTGAGGCTCAGCTGATAGATTTTCTTAAGAAATTCTGAGGGCGTTGCTCGGTTACACTACTTAACCTCATCACATTAAATTGAGGTCTGTTGGTTTTTAAACCATCCTTCATTTATCTTGTCATCATTTTCGAGTAATTTCTTCTATTTTATATTATTGTGCAAAGTGAACTGAAGAATATGCTTAGTGATTTTTGTACTCATTAAATTTGACCAATGGGAGTTAGTAAGAATCAGATCTGACCAAAATATGTTAATATGGATTTGAGTAAAGAAACGAAACCTCAACTTGAGCAGCTACTTTACAATGCAACTTTACTCACAGAAGCAGCCCTTGAATTGCGAGAAAAGTCTATCAGCAGTGATAAGTACAGTAGTTATCTACGAAGTTTGGCGTGGCGCGCCACTCGCGCTTCCTCCATAATTCAGCAAACTAGTCGAAATTGTTTAAACCTTGCTCAGCGTATAGCAACAAGTTGTTCGAAGACTTTAGAGGTAATCCCTGAACCAGCCCTTCGCCAACAGACTGAAAGGCTGCTGTTTATTTTAGAAAAAGAGCTCATTGATGTGATTGATTTCGATCTTGCAGAAAATCCATTCGCGTTTACACCAAACAATCCAAACAATCTCAGTGAGAAACTACGAAATCTTGAGAGTCGTGTGAAGCTTGATAGTGGTTATTTGTCTCAGTGCAGCAGCGCCAAAAGTTTCAAGCAAGATGTTGATGAAAAGTATCCAGAAAATTGCTCGCGGGAATCGCTGTTCGACTTCAATGTCATGAATCTACCTCCAGTGCCAGAGGACATTTCTATGAATTTTAATAAAATTGGGATTCCATCACACAGTCAGTCATCCTTGCGCAGTCTACGCAAAGTTAAACACTACACGCAGAAGGCTATGCCCTCTGATGAGAGTGAGGAAAGTGAAAATGATGATCAAGATATTGCTAGTATTTCAGGAGTGAGTTGGTGATTTTCTCCCTTGTATTCTTAATTTCTTAGTTTCACGAATTCTACCATCTGAAGTTACCGTTATCTACTCTAATCTTTGCAGGTTGCTTTGTCATTCATCAAATCAAAGCCCAAGTATTTCGTTAACATAGGACAGTGAATTCTTTGACCAACATTGGTGAACCAACAGCACCAACCGCAGTTACTTTTAAAAATCACTTAATTGTCAATGGATCATTTGAATTTTCAGTTCAATCGCAGTTTGTTAATTGAATGATTGATTACTTCAAAAGCAGATCTATACATTTGAAAACTGTCAGAGTAGGATTGCCTGTTGGGAAGATTGGAAAAAAATTCAATGCAATTGCTTGATCCAATCTCAGAGAGTTCTCATGCGGACACATTTTATACCCTCGTATTAATGTATATTACATACCTTCGACCAGGCAATAATTTAAGTATGTCTCTCTCTCTTTCAACGCTGCGTTTTATCGTAAAGATCATCACTCATTCTCCTGAAACACTTGCGTTACATTAATTCTTACACTCTTCTCATTTTAGGAAGGAAGACACAGCTACTGGGAATTGATGAAGCATGTTAACAAGCGCAAAACTTTAGGAAACATCAAGGAAGAGTCTAGTCAGGACTTGTAATTTCTAGCTTCCTATTTTTATGTAGAAACTTGGGGCACTTGTTATTGTTAAAAAAAAATACGGACTTTCCGTTTTCCTTTTCCTCTGATGCTCACTCACATGGAACCTCGTTTTCATTTTATGTTTAAAAATGCAGAATCCGATAAAAGAAAATTAAAATTAAAGTCACATTTGAGTCGGAGTTGAATGCTCAGTTTTATATCTACTCATCTAATAAGACTGAGTGATCACGATTCGGAATCGCATGTGCTGCAAGTTAGTAACCCATTCGAATTAAGCGCCATTTGCTACATGTTTTCATAACTTCATAGTGCCAACATAGCATACGCAAAACCCTCCAAAAATTGTGCCTCGAAATCTCAACCTATCAAGGACAGCCGTCAAAGTCACACGAATGTCACTGCTTCAATGTCCCTACTTAGAATATTAGGAAGGGATGTTTTATTATCTCCTGAGAATAATGTTACTCTCCTTTAAAAGCTTTAGCACTGAATCCCTGGCCAGTCCACCACCAGCAAGCTTGGCAACTTTGAACCCCTGCGTAGTTTGCTGTTGCCAGGTGAACCAAGTTAAGGAGCAATTTTATTTTTTGATATCATAAAAGACGTATTTTTATCAATCAGTTTTCCACCGGACACTAAGAAATTTTACTCAACTTCATTAAATCCCATAAATTTTGCTTTTAACTCATCTGATTTGTAATAAAAAAAGCTGGTAATCTCTTGTTATTTATTCAGTAGAATTTCTGAATAATCGGCAACTAAGCCTCAAAACAAAACAAAAAATATGTCGGAATTTAACTTCCCTGTAATGTCACTTTATCAATCGCGGTGTTCTTGTTTTGTCGCTAATTTCCTCTCGCTTTGATTTTGTGATGTGTTTGTTCGATAAGAAATGTGCTCAATTTAACTCTCGGCCATTCTAATGAGCTGATCGTCTCTCATCTTTATCCAAAGTAAGTGAGCTCCCAGAAGTCTTTATCAGTGTTTATGTACTTATGTTTTGTTATCATTCCTCTCCACTCATGTGCATCCAGGTAGAAGGTTGATCTCTTATTACCCTCTGGAATTTGTTTTTTTATTTGCTCCCTTCTCTATTATGTAAATCAAATGCTACGAACACTAAGTAACTTATGAAGTATGAACTATGATTGTCTGTGATCTTGTATTGAGCGTCAAAGTAGGCGTGGAGTCGAGAGCTATCTAAATAAAACCCGACCCATTGATTGCTGAATGGAAACAATTAATCATTACAGAAAATACTATCTGGAATGCTAAAATCGTGTGCAAGTTTTTCTGCGCAGGAACACAGGGACTTCTTGTTGAATTTACTAGCAGTAATTACATTCCTTCTGAGAACAAAATTTTCATCCAGCAGATTGACAGTTGCCTCCCAAATAGTCTGTAGCAACTTTCTAGTGCCACTATAGTCCACCAGTCTTGTTTTCAAGTCAGTTATAATATGTACCAGAAGAAGAACATCGGTGAATCTAGATAAACACGATTCTCTGTTGCGATTCCGTCAATCTCCTGCCATATTTTATAATTTGGAGATCCATTTCAATTAATCTTCATCCTTGACCTGCACTCAGTGGTTTTTCTTTGCCATTTTTAAGAACACCCTTTTTAGTGCTGAGCGGAAATGTCAGGAAGAATTATTTATCCGTAGAAAATTAAATGATTGGAAGTTTTGAAATACTCCAATGAAGATTCATGTGTATAGGTACTTAAATCCATACACAGGATAGTGTTATATATTAAGAAATAGGTTGGATTTTTAATTCAAGGATGCTAAGTGTAGATTAGCAGATCTGTAATAATGGGCAATCTAGCCATATCAAATTTTATTGAAGATACTCAAGCGGACAATATTATTCGTAATTTAAGGTCTCCTCATTTTTTGTAAAACTGGGATTGGCTTTGGTGTAGGAACTATTATCAATTCTTTAAAATTAGATCACCGCTCACCACACTATATCTAATCTTTGCGAAGAACCTCGGAGGCTTTTCAAGAGGGAAGCATATTTATATCCAGGTATCCATAAGTCTCCGCCAAATGCTCCCGAAAACTCACTTTCTCCTTGAAAAACTTAGGTAATAGAAATACATGTAAGAATCTAGGCTTACATAGTCATTTGGTGTCCACTGCTGCCATAGCGGAAGGGTAAAACTGTCTGGCAAAAAAATGTCGACTTGTGTATTAGAGACCCATATTTACTCGGATAAATCGTCCAAGACTGGCCTTATTGGTAGATGCGCCAAGTCTACCGCTAGGTGTGAGTATTGTAGTACAGTAATTGGCTGCAGTGTTTGAAATTCACAGGCACCAAATGCGCCTAATAAATGTAGGCTCTGCGCCTACGCTGCCCCTAAAAAATTACCCTCCTTCCCCCCAAAAAAAGAATCCTAATTAAGAATCCAACCTGTTTGGTGGTTTGTCAAAATTTCCCCCAAGTCACAGCTACTAGTTCTGTAACTAAAACATCTTGCGTCTAACTTTTCACTAAACGCGCTATGATATGTAGGCAAAAAGTGAATGTGGCCCCTAAAAAATCTTCAATAGCCCCTAAAAATCAAGCCTGATGCGCCACATAGCTCCTGAAACTCAAAGATGAGTTTCCAATCCTGATCGGCTCTCCATTATTCTGGAGAACTACAGATAAAGTGCCAACCACCAGTTCACTGACTGTAGAAGGGAGAGAAGGACAGTATCCAAGTGCTTTGTGACATGGTAAATCCAACTTATGTAACCCCTAAAAAAATTGCATTAATGGAGGATGATACCTATCGCTTTTGTGGGGCAGAACGATTATGAACTTGAATTAAGGATATTCCTCTGAAAGATGAAAGAGAGAAGTCATAAACAAAGGAATAAACAAAATGTAAATTGTTACAAGAAGAAACTAATTTTTTAATTAATTTATTTTAATACTCATTAATTGATTTTTTCAAATAAGTTCACGAACAAGTCAACGAGCAGTTTTAACACAAAAATTTTGAAGAGCGCGCCAATATCGAAGTCTCAATTAGCTGAGAGTACAGCGATTTTGAAACTGCACCGAAAAAGAATAGATATCTCGACTGACTGCAAAGTCGGATAATTTTAAAGGCGCCAAGATAGCATTCTAGGCCACTTCTGTCATCTTGGATTTTTGAATTTTGAAAATGTGACTAAAAACTCGACTTTTACGCTAAAAAATACTCCTCGGTACCAGGTTTCACAAAAATCGATCGTACAGGAGCCGCATATCGTACGATCAGTACTGCCGTGATATGGAAAAACGGCGTATGAGCCTTCAGGCGTTGCCAGAACACCAGTAAGAACCAAATTAACTGGACATTTTTTTAATGTTCTGTGTCAAATTTTTCAGACGATTCTGTTCGCAATTTAATCTGAAATACCTGAAAATTTCAAGAGAAAATTTCAATAACTTTCCTAAAAAATGCATGATTAATCTGAGGAAATGTGGCAACTCTCAAATGTTCGTACGGCGTTTTTTCTTTACACGGCAGAGTAGGACTCGACACACGAGCACGATACCAGTCAATTAAAGAACGTTAGTGCGCCTTCATTTCCAACTGATACTGTGCAATACTTCCGAGGTGGAATAGTTGCTCAGAGCGCCTTCCAATGTTTTGTTTCGACTTGACTGCAGAAGATCACGATATTACTTACTCTGTACTGTAGCGCGTGTGCAATTGCTTACACATTTTCTCATAACGACGACGAAGTAAAAACATTCATACCTCAATTTGCGACGTTGCAAATTTTTTACCACTTATTTTATTTGGATAATACAGCTGTCGGTTTAATCCCAACTCCAGGAACCCATTTTATTTGAGCTAAAGAATGGAACACTAGACAAGGTACGAATTTCAGCATTCTGATACACGTTTCTCAACCAAAATTTCTCGTAAAGCACGATGCGCACAACGAAAATTACCGAAATTAACTCCTCACAACGATACTTAATGATTCTTGATGCGTGAATACAAATCACCCGCTCATGAAAACTCAATGCTCTTCGTGATTCACATCGCGCGCTAAACGTTTATCATGACAGTCTCTGCGATATAAAAATCTGGCAGCCTCAATCTTGACGCTTTGGTTGAGCTGTGGCAAATTGCATATAGTTTAAACAACACATGGTGGGAAATGAACATTGCTCGATAGAGAGGATTGCCGTAACCGTTGTAGTGCGCGATTTGACTCACTTAAAGCTTTGAGTTTCTTGTGAGCGGGCAGTTCAAATTCCTCGTAACCAATGTGAAATAAAAATGTTAATATCTCCGTTAGGAATTGGTTTCAGTAATTTTCGTTGCGCGAATCGTGTTCTACGTGAAATTCTGATTACTTAAGGGACATGTAACAGAATGCTTAAATTCGTACCTTGTCTAGTGGTCCATTCCGCCGAGACAGCAATTTTTTCTGCCCTTTAAACTTAGTATCTGGAGCTACTACTTTCTTCGGTGTCACGGTGAATTTCCTCGAGCTTTTCTCGTTCATGAGCTGTTCAACGATGAAATCCCGAGCGTGGGAAACCCTAAGAATGCCGGTTGTTCGACGAGGTTCATAGCCGTGCTAAGGAAAAATGACGGATGATCATTCGAACGTTGCCAAAACCGTTGCCTTTTTTTGTGAAATTATATCATCTAGGATTACTTAATATACTGTATAATTGTTACGCCGCGTCGTTTGTAAACCTATTATAAAGCACGTATTTGACATAGTTTTGGGCGCATTTTTGCGGGAGGACGCGATCATTTCTGCATCTTGTCGGACGGTGCTAGGTCATTTTTCCTAATTTTTTTTTTCCTACATCAGGTTTTCCTAATACTTTTTTCCTACTCGGTTTTTGTCCCATTACAGTAAGTCCTACGAGTGAGATGTCCCACTGGTTTTTTTCCTAAGGATGTTTGTCCTAATAATCCAATAATAATTGAAACGTAAACATGAGTAGAGTAGTGGGAAATGTTGCAGAAAGAGTAAAGTCTTCTCAGCGAGCCGAATATAAGCGCGTGAACAGGAGACATCACAAGCTGAGCCTTCTCAATATAAGGAGGAGGATGAAGCTCCACTACTTACGGGCATGCGGCCACAAATTTAACTCGTGAGGTACCTATGTTGTTTTTTTTACTTTCTCGCTCCCCTAGTTTTAAAATCGAATTTAGAACAAATGCCCCTAGGAAAAAAGCCAGTAGGATATCTCACTCGTAGGACTAACTGTGATAGGACA